ACCGCTGAGGAGTATTTCTGTCTGTAATAAAGCCCTTTTGTGGGGAAAAACTCATTCTGATTGGCTGGGCCTGGCTCCCCAGTGGGTGGGCCTGGCTGCCAAGTGGGTGGGCCTATGCCCTCCCAGGCCCACCCATGGCTGCGCCCCTGCCCAGTCATGTGAAATCCATAGATTAGGGCCTAATTAATTTATTTCAATTGACTGATTTCCTTATATGAACTGGCACTCAGTAAAATCTTTGAAATTGTTGCATGTTGCGTTTATTTTTGTTCAGAATATATCAATTAATTGGCTACTGTTTGCAGATGATCTGGTGCTTCTGTCCCCAACCAAGGAGGGCCTACAGCAGCACCTAGATCTTCTGCACAGATTCTGTCAGACTTGGGCCCTGACAGTAAATCTCAGTAAGACAAAAATAATGTTGTTCCAAAAAAGGTCCAGTTGCCAGGAGCACAAACATCAATTATATCTGGACATTGTTGCCCTGGAGCACACAAAGAATTACACATACCTAAAACATCAGCATCACAAGTAACTTCCACAAAGCTGTGAATGATCTGAGAGACAAGGCAAGAAGGGCCTTCTATGCCATCAAAAGGAACATTAAATTTGACATACCAATTAGGATCTGTCTTAAATTACTCCAATCAGTTATAGAACCCATTGCCCTTTATGGTTCTGAGGTCTGGGGTCCACTCACCAACCAAGAATTCACAAAATGGGACAAACACCCAATTGAGACTCTGCATGCAGAATTCTGCAAAAATATACTTCATGTACAACGCAAAACCCCAAATAATGCAAGCTGAGCAGAATTAGGATGATTCCCGCTAATTATCAAAATCCAGAAACGAGCCATTAAATTCCACAACCACCTAAAAGAAAGCGATGCCCAAACCTTCCACTCACAAACCCTAACCGCCAAAAACTGGTCTGGGGCTCGTTTCCCCCCCCAAAACCAACAAAAAACAAAAAACCCCCCCAGGAAAGGGGAAAAACCCCCCGGGGACGAAAAAAACAAAAAATTTAAAACCAAAAAGGGGGAGAAACAAAAAAATTTTTTATTAAAAATTGGAAAGGGAACAAAAAAAACAAGAAACTAAATGCTATTTTGGCCTTAAAAAAAAGTCAAATCCCCAAACCTTTGAGGGAAAAGAAAAAGGAAAACGTGACTTGTACAAAAAAAACCCCCAAAAGAAAAAAACCTTTTTGGGGGAGGGGGGAAATAAAAAGGTTTAGGGAAAAAAAACGGGGAAAAAAAAAAAATTAGGGGGGGAAACTGGCCCCCAAAAAAAAAATTTAAATCAAAAAAAAAAAAAAGGGGAAAAAAATTTTAAAAAAAAAAGAAAATGACTCTTTTTTGGGCCTCCTCCCCCCCAAAACCGTTTTCCCCTGGGAAAAACCCAACCCCAACCCCAAATAACCTAATTTCCCGGGGGATGGGGGAAGAGAGGGGGGGGTTTTGGGGGCCCCGGCGGCGGGCCCCTTTTCCCCGGCGGCCCGGGGGGTTGGGTTGTTATGGTTCTATGTCTAAAAGGGCCCCCACGAGGAGGGGGTAACCCCGAAAAGGAAAAAAAAAGAAAAAAAAGCCCAAACAAGAAAAAGGGAAAGGGATCAAAAAGAGGAATGGAAAAAAGGGGAAAAAGAGGCGTTTCCCCCCCCCTTTGTCCCCTAATTTCCCCTTTTTGTCCCTTAAAACAAAAGAGCCAAGGGCAAATTTTTGGGAATAACCAAACCCAAAAAGGGGGCTCGGGCCCTTTTCGGGGGGCTTTGGGGGGGGGAAAGGGAAATTGGGGGGGGGAAAAAAAAAAGGGGGGGGGTCGGGGGGGGTAAAAACCATAGCTTTTAAAAAAAGAAAAAACAAGGGGTTTTTTTCCCCCCCTTGAGAAGCAGAGAAAAGAGCCAGAGGAAGAAAGGAAAGGGAAGAGGAGGAGAAAGAAAGAAAGAGATACGAAGAAAAGAGAAAGAGAAAAAGAAGATGAGAGAAAGGAAAGAGGAAAGGGGAGGGGGAAGCGAAAAAGATGGAGAAGGGGGGGAAAAAGAGAGGAAAAAGAAAAAGGATGAAAAGAGAGAGAGATAGGAAGGGGAATGGATTTTTTTTTGGGAATGGGTATAGAGGAAAAGAAGGGGGAAAAAATTTTTAAAAAGAGAATAAAAAAAAGAAAGAAAAAATATAGAGATTGGGTTGGGTTGAGTTAATTGGAAGAAGATGATGCTCTTTTTTTAAAATTTTTAAAAAGGGGTTTTTCCCCTTTTTTTTGGGGTTTTTTTTTGCTCTTTTCCTTTTTTCCTCTCCTCTCCCTTTTTTTCTCCTTTTCTCCCCCCTTTCCTTTCCCTTCCTCTCTCCCTCCTTCGCTTTCCCCCCGCCTTTGGGCCTCCCCTTTCGTTTGTCCCCCGGGGCCCCGGCTCCCTTCCCCCCGGGTTCTCCTCTAGACATCCCTTTTGGGAAACAATGGGACTTTAAAAAATTTTAAAAGTTTTCTAAAAATTCCCGATTTTTTTCCTCAAAAAAAGTTACTTTGTGAATTGGGGTTTAAACGCCCTACCCAAAATCATTTTTTTAAAATGATTCCCATTATCCAGGTTTGCTAAATTTTTCCCAAAATTAGAGGGGGTGTTAAAGCCCAAACTAAAAAATGTTTTTCCTTAGTATTCCCTAAGGGGGGTTTGCTGGGGGGAAAACCGCAGATGGAGGGGAATCCCGGGTTTTAGAGACCCCCAAAGGGGGGGGGTTAATAAGGCTGTGGGAAACCGCAGATGGGGGGTTTTAATGAAGGCTGTGGGAAAAACCGCAGAGTGGAGGGGGTTAAAAAAGGTTTGGGGAAGACCGCAGATGGGGGGGGAAAATATGGCGGGGGGAAGACCGGGTGGGGGGGTTATAAGGCTGTGGGAGAGCCCCCAAGTGGGGGGGGTTAATGTAGGCTGTGGGGAGAGACCCAAGTGGGGGGGTTTAAATTTAAAAGGCGGGGGGGGAAGCCCGCGGGTTTGGAGGGGGTTAATAACTGTGGGGAGGACCGATGGAGGGGTTTTAATAAAACCCCGGGGGGGAGAACCGCAGTGAGGGGTTAATGACAGGCGGGGGGGAAAGAAAGGGAGGGGTTAATGATAGGCTGTGGGGAAGACCGCAAGGGGAGGGGGGTTAATAAGGCTGGGGGGGAGGACCGCAAGTGGAGGGGTTAATGTGGCTGGGGGGAGAGACCGCAGATGGGGGGGTTAATATGGCTGGGGGGAGAGACCGCAAGTGGGGGGGGTTAAATGAAGGCTGTGGGAGAGACCGCAAGGGGAGGGGTTAATGGGGCTTGGGGGAACCGCAGAGTGGGGGGGGTTTAAAGAAGGCTGGGGGGAGGACCGCAGAGTGGAGGGTTAAATGAAGGTTTGGGGGGGAAGACGCGATGGGGGGGGTTAAATGTAGCTGGGGGGAGAAACCGCAGATGGAGGGGTTAATAACCCTGTGGGGAAGACCGCAGATGGAGGGGGTTAGAGGGGCGGGGAAGACCGCAGAGTGGAGGGGTTTAATGAAGGCTGGGGGGAGGACCAGAGTGGGGGGGGTTAATGATAGGCGTGGGGAGAGACCGCAGATTTTAGGGGTTAATAAGGGGGCGGGGGGGGAAGACCCAGATGGGGGGGGTTAATAAGGCTGTGGGGGGAACCGCAGAGTGGAGGGGGTTTGAAAAACGGGGGACCCCGCAGGAGGGGGGGGGGTTAAATGATGGTTTTGGGGGGAGAAAACCGCGAGGGAGGGGTTAATAAGGCTGTGGGAAGACCGCGGGGGGGAAAGGGGGTTTTTAGAAGGCTGTGGGGACGACCGCGGTGGGGGGGGGTTTTACTGTGGGGGGCCCAGATGGAGGGGGTTTTTAATTAACAGCTTTTGGGGAAAAACCGCAGAGTGGGGGGTTATGATAGGGCTTGGGAGGACCGCAGGTGGAGGGGGTTTTAACAGTGGGGGGAGAACCGCAAGTGGAGGGGTTAATGTAGGCTGTGGGGAGAGCCAGAGTGGAGGGGGTTAAATTTACAGGCTGTGGGGAACCCGAGGGGGGGAGGGGGGGTTCCGACGGCTTGGGGAGAACCGGGGTGGGGGGGGGTTTAATGGGTGTGGGGGGGAAAAGATTTGGGGGGGGGTTAATGCCAGGGGGGAAAGGGGAAGGGGGGGTTTTTATGGCTGGGGAAACCCAATGGAGGGGTTAATATAGGCTTTGGAGAGACCGCGAGTGAGGGGTTTTGACGCTGGGGGGAAAAAACCGCAGAGTGGAGGGGGTTAATCACAGGCTTTGGGAGAGCCGCAAGTGGAGGGGGTTAATCGGCTGTGGGAAGACCGCAGAGTGGAGGGGGTTTAATGATGGTGTGGGAGAGCCCCGCAGATGGGGGGGTTAATCCAGGCTGGGGAAGAGACCGCAGAGTGGGGGGGGGTTATGATAGCTGGGGAGAGACCGAGAGGGGAGGGGGTTTTGATGGCTGGTGGGGAGCCGAAGGGGGGGGGTTTAATGATGGGCTGTGGGGAGAACCGCGGGAGGGGAGGGGGTTAAAGATGGGGCTGGGGGGAGAGACCGCAAGGGAGGGGTTTAAAATGATAGGCGGGGGAGAGACCGCAGAGTGGAGGGGTTTTAGGCTGTGGGGAGAGACCGCAGAGTGGGGGGGGTTTAATGATAGGCTTGGGGAAGACCGCAAGTGGAGTGGGTTTAAATTAACGGGGCTTGGGGAAGACCCAGAGTGGAGGGGGTAATTAACGGCTGTGGGGAAAAACCGCAAAGGGAGGGGGTTTAATTTAACGGGCTGTGGGGAGACCGCAATGGAGGGGGTTAATTACCGGGCTTTGGGGGAAACCGCAGGTGGAGGGGGTTAATTTAACGGGGCTTGGGGGAAAAAAACGGCAGAGGGAGGGGTTAATTAACGGCTTGGGGAAGACCCGCGGGTGGGGGGGGAAATTTAACAGGCTTGGGGAAACCCGCAGAGGGGGGGGGGGTTTAAATTACAGGCTGGGGGGAGACCCCAAGGGGAGGGGGTTAAATTAACGGCTTGGGGGGAGCCGCAGAGTGGGGGGGGTTAATGATAGGCTGTGGGAAGCCGCAGAGTGGGGGGTTAAATTCAGGCTGTGGGGAGAGACCGCAGGTGGAGGGGTTAATGCCGGCTGGGGGGGGAGAGAGAAGGGGGGGTTAAATATGGGGTGTGGGGAGAGACCCCCGGTGGAGGGGGGTTATAAAGGGCTGTGGGAGACCGCAGAGGGGAGGGGGTTAATGAAGGCTGTGGGAAGACCGCAAGTGGAGGGGGTTAATACAGGCGTGGGGAGGCCCCGAAGGGGAGGGGGTTAAATGATAGGCTTGGGGAGAGCCGGGGCAGATGGAGGGGTTAATGATATATGTGGGGAGCCGGGCAATTGGAGGGGGTAATAAAGGGGCTGGGGGGAGAGACTGCAGATTGGAGGGTTAATTAGGCAATTGGGGAGAACGCGAGGGGGAGGGGTTTTAAGATAGGTTTGGGGGGAAAGACCGGTTGGGAGGGGGTAATGATGGGGCTGTGGGGAGAGCTGCAAGTGGGGGGGGGTTAATTAAAGGTTTGTGGGGAAGACCGCAAGTGAGGGGGTAATGGGGGGCTGGGGGGAGAGCCCAGATTTTAGGGGTTAATAAAGGGTTTGGGGGGAGAACCGCAGAGTGGGGGTTTTTTTAATTAACGGCTGGGGGTTAGATCCGCGTTGGGGGGGGGTTAATTACCATGTGGGGAGTCCCCTGGAGGGGGTTAATTACAGGCGGTGGGGAAGAGACCGCAGAGTGGAGGGGGTTAATTAACAGGCTGTGGGGAGAGACCGCAGAGTGGAGGGGGTTAATTAACAGGCTGTGGGGAGAGACCGCAGAGGGGAGGGGATAATTAAACAGGACTGTGGGAGGACCCGGCAGAGTGGAGGGGGTTAATGATAGGCTGTGGGGAGAGACCGCAGAGTGGAGGGGGTTAATTAACAGGCTGTGGGGAGAGACCGCAGAGTGGAGGGGGTTAATGATAGGTTGTGGGGAGATAAGGCTATACATGCTGATACCAGGGGACTTTGATCAGTGTGTGTGTGTGTGTGAGAGAGAGAGAGCCCCTTGAATTGAATAGAGAGAGAGAAAATGGGTCTCTATAAACTCTATATAGACTTTGATCTGAGTGAGTTGTCTCAGAGGCATTGTGGGATTAAAGATGCCCATCCCATCAGATGTACTGAGGGACAAAAACAAACATGTTCCTGATGGAACACACACATGCCCACACACTCCCAGGGCACATCATATTTGACCCAACTGACAGAAGGATGAAGTGATAACAGGAAGATATGTAGAAAAGAGAGACAGGAGAGATAGACAGCAGAATAGAACCTCAGTGGCTTCAGAAGGTGAAGACATAAGAGACAGATAGAGAAGAACCCAGATAGGACCCAGCTCAGAGAGAAGGACCCAGCTCAGAGAGAAGGACCCAGCTCAGAGAGAAGGACCCAGCTCAGAGAGAAGGCCCCAGCTAGGACTCAGCTCAGAGAGAAGGACCCAGCTCAGAGAGAAGGACCCAGCTCAGAGAGAAGGACCCAGCTAGGACCCAGCTCAGAGAGAAGGACCCAGCTCAGAGAGAAGGACCCAGCTCAGAGAGAAGTACCGAGATAGGACCCAGCTCAGAGAGAAGGACCCAGCTCAGAGAGAACGACCCAGCTAGGACCCAGCTCAGAGAGAAGGACCCAGCTCAGAGAGAAGGACCCAGCTAGGACCCAGCTCAGAGAGAAGGACCCAGATAGGACCCAGCTCAGAGAGAAGGACCCAGCTCAGAGAGAAGGACCCAGATAGGACCCAGCTCTGAGAGAAGGACCCAGATAGGACCCAGCTCAGAGAGAAGGACCCAGATAGGACCCAGCTCAGAGAGAAGGACCCATATAGGACCCAGCTCAGAGAGAAGGACCCAGATAGGACCCAGCTCAGAGAGAAGGACCCAGATAGGACCCAGCTCAGAGAGAAGGACCCAGATAGGACCCAGCTCAGAGAGAAGGACCCAGATAGGACCCAGCTCAGAGAGAAGGACCCAGATAGGACCCAGCTCAGAGAGGGAGAGATAGAGAGGAAGACAAACATAGATGCAAAGGTTAAGGGTCGCACACTAGACGGTGACACTTACATTAGCTCCACCCCCAGGACCATGGGCACCTTGTCTCCAGAGTGGTTGCTACGGAAACGCAGGCGGAAGAGGTGGCTGGCCCCGGGCTGCCGTGACGTCAGCATTCCAGCGGTGGTTCTGACGGGTGATAGGTTGATATCCTCGGCCTGGCAGGGTCCCACCCAGATATGGTCCCTCAGAGCATAGTCGATCACTGCATAGCTGTCCTCACTGAGGTGGAGAGAGAGGGAGAGAGAAAGGGAGAGAAAGAGAGAGTGAGTGACCCACAACTGCAACACCTCTACCACAATTAACTCCATTCTTTATTACCTTGTAGTAATTAGGTAGTGTTTGCTGTAGGGCTGGGAATTGCCACGGACCTCATGATACGATATTATCACGATACTTAGGTGCTGATTAAATGTGTACTGTGATTCTCGCGATTCAATATGTATTGCGATTCAATACTGCGATTTCACTGCGATTTGATGTTCCAATCATATTACTCACCATATGTCTGCTGTAGAGAGACGAGAGAGAGACATGAGAAAATGAGTCAGGGAAATAAAAGTGCTGAAAATATGTTGGGTCACTATTTAAAAAGATGAGAAATACTGGTTGTGTCACAGGTACAGCCAACTAGCACTAGCTAACGCTGCTTATAGACTTTACAAATCGATACTTGGAGTCAAATATCAATATAATAAGGTTTATTTGAACAGTGAGAGACAGAATAACAACAACAAAATCCAGAAAAACGCATGTCAAAAATGTTATCAATTGATTTGCATTTTAATGAGTATTTGACACCCTCTCAATCAGAAAGATTTCTGGCTCCCAGGTGTCTTTTATACAGGTAACGAGCTGAGATTAGGAGCACACTCTTAAAGGGAGTGCTCCTAATCTCAGCTTGTTACCTGTATAAAAGACACCTGTCCACAGAAGCAATCAATCAATCAGATTCCAAACTCTCCACCATGGCCGAGACCAAAGAGCTCTCTAAGATGTCAGGGACAAGATTGTAGACCCACACAAGGCTAGAATGGGCTACAAGACCATCGCCAAGCAGCTTGGTGAGAAGGTGACAACAGTTGGTGCGATTATTCACAAATGGAAGAAACACAAAATAACTGTCAATCTCCCTCGGCCTTGGGCTCCATGCAAGATCTCACCTCGTGGAGTTGCAATGATCATGAGAACGGTGAGGAATCAGCCCAGAACTACACGGGAGGATCTTGTCAATGATCTCAAGGCAGCTGGGACCATAGTCACCAAGAAAACAATTGGTAACACACTACGCCGTGAAGGACTGAAATCCTGCAGCACCCGCAAGGTCCCCTTGCTCAAGAAAGCACCTATACATGCCCGTCTGAAGTTTGCCAATGAACATCTGAATGATTCAGAGGAGAACTGGGTGAAAGTGTTGTGGTCAGATGAGACCAAAATCGAGCTCTTTGGCATCAACTCAACTCGCCGTGTTTGGAGGAGGAGGAATGTTGCCTAAGACCCCAAGAACACCATCCACACTGTCAAACATGGAGGTGGAAACATTATGCTTTGGGGGTGTTTTTCTGCTAAGCGGACAGGACAACTTCACCGCATCAAAGGGACGATGGACGGGGCCATGTACCGTCAAATCTTGGGTGAGAACCTCCTTCCCTCAGCCAGGGCATTGGAAATGGTTCATGGATGGGTATTCCAGCATGACAATGGCCCAAAACACATGGCCAAGGCAACAAAGGAGTGGCTCAAGAAAAAGCACATTAAGGTCCTGGAGTGGCCTAGCCAGTCTCCAGACCTTAATCCCATAGAAAATCTTTGGAGGGAGCTGAAGGTTCGAGTTGCCAAATGTCAGCCTCGATACCTTAATGACTTGGAGAAGATCTGCAAAGAGGAGTGGGACAAAATCCCTCCTGAGATGTGTGCAAACCTGGTGGCCAACTACAAGAAACGTCTGACCTCTGTGATTGCCAACAATGGTTTTGCCACCAAGTACTAAGTCATGTTTTGCAGAGGGGTCATATGCAAATCAATTTATAACATTTTTGAAATGCGTTTTTCTGGATTTTTTTGTTGTTATTCTGTCTCTCACTGTTCAAATAAACCTACCATTAAAATTATAGACTGATCATTTCTTTGTCAGTGTGCAAACGTACAAAATCAGCAGGGGATCAAATACTTTTTTCCCCTCACTGTATAGAGATATATATATATATATATGACTGCTCAACATTTGTGTGCTTAGTGCCTACATTTCCCATGAGCACCCGAGCCTCATTATGTTTGACACTTCCTGCTGTTAGTTGGAGCCATATGGAACTCATTCTAGAGCCCAATCTCACACAGGGAAGCTGAGTTAGGGGTCTGCTGGGGCCTGAACTCAGCAGCACCACACACACACACACACACAAACACACACACACACAGAGACACACACAAACACAAAGCCTATAGCATAGTACGTCTAATTGGGATGTGGAAGGACAGCCAGGGACTCCTTTCCAGGGATTTAATTCCCTGCATGCGAACCTACACATGCACAAACACACACACGCCAATTCAGTGGGGGGCCTTTCCTACAGCTGGTTGAGAATACCTGTCATGGTTGAGAGGTTGGAGGCAGGGTCTTCTGGTACCCATCACCCTACACTCAATCACTGAATCCACACGGCAACCAACGACAACCAGTCTGACAGCTCAGAGGACGAGGAGGTTAAAATGGAGGATCAGAAAGAGGAGGAAGTGTCTGGTGTGTAAGGTGTCAGTAAAGAATTCTAACCTTTCCCAGAATCCCCTACTGCTACAATGTGTGGAATTCCATTTACATTCCTCTGTGGAATGGGAGTGGGGGGGTGGGGGCGGAGGGGGGATGGATAGAATGCAGAAGTACTGGCGGCAGGTAGCTTAGTGGTTAAGAGCGTTGTGCCAGTAACCGAAAGGTCGCTGGTTCTAATCCCCGAGCCAACTAGGTGAAAAATCTGTCGATGTGCCCTTGAGCAAGGCACTTAACCCTAATTGCTCCTGTAAGTCGCTCTGGATAAGAGCGTCTGCTAAATAATGTAAATGTAATACTGAATGAGAACAGTAGAGGAGGACTTAGCTGTCGTACAAAGAGAGAAAAGAGCTGCAATATGCACACACACACAGAATGAGAAACATGCCGTCCTTTGATACAGGCTGTTTGTGATAACAAAGGCTTCTCCTCCTTGGTGACTGAACAGACATCAGAATATTAACTGTTCGACCAGTTACCAATCTTTGATGGAAGGAGAGAAAGAGAGATAGAGATGGAGGGGGGAAGAGAGGATGTTTACAGCAGGGAGAGAGAGTACTGAGACACTAGCTTAGTCACTCACACAGAGAGACAGACAGACAGAGAGAGAGAGAGAAGAATTTCCTGGGGAGATCGGGGCCTACTCAAACAAACACAGACGGGAGATCAGCTTGGAAGAGAGAAGACAGAGGGAAACAAAAAAAAAGAGGGAGGAGGGAAAAGTGAGAGAGAAAAAGACAAGAGCGTGAGCGGAAGAGGGGAGGCCAGCTTGTGTGTAGTAGTTGTGTTCCTGTGGGTCTAGTGTCTGGTTTTCCTGAACAGTCACTCTCTGCCATGTATCTCTCCACAACACTTGTGTGGGTGGCATTCTCTGCTTCGGGTTTAAAATCCTGCCATCTGATTGGTCCCTCGAAGTGGGCTCTCAAAGTTAAGGTAACTTTTTAACTTGATAAGGCAAGCAAGCATTTAACTAATAATAATAATTAATAAAACATGGGACTTACATTGCACTTTTCAAGGACCCAAAGTCGCTTTACAATTATAGAAATGAAAAAGAAAAACAGAGATTCACCCCATGCCTGACTTCACAAGATCATGATTGTTGTAAAAGGAGGCAACTGTTTATTTGTTACATTTTTACATTTTAGTCATTTAACAGATGCTCTTAGTTGTTTCTAATCAACAATACACATACAGTGGGGAAAAAAAGTATTTAGTCAGCCACCAATTGTGCAAGTTCTCCCACTTAAAAAGATGAGAGATGCCTGTAATGACAGACAAATTGAGAAGAAAAAAATCCAGAAAATCACATTGTAAGATTTTTAATGAATTTATTTACAAATTATGGTGGAAAATAAGTATTTGGTCACCTACAAACAAGCAAGATTTCTGGCTCTCACAGACCTGTAACTTCTTCTTTAAGAGGCTCCTCTGTCCTCCCCTCGTTACCTGTATTAATGGCACCTGTTTGAACTTGTTATCAGTATAAAATACACCTGTCCACAACCTCAAACAGTCACACTCCAAACTCCACTATGGCCAAGACCAAAGAGCTGTCAAAGGACACCAGAAACAAAATTGTAGACCTGCACCAGGCTGGGAAGACTGAATCTGCAATAGGTAAGCAGCTTGGTTTGAAGAAATCAACTGTGGGAGCAATTATTAGGAAATGGAAGACATACAAGACCACTGATAATCTCCCTCGATCTGGGGTTCCACGCAAGATCTCACCCCGTGGGGTCAAAATGATCACAAGAACGGTGAGCAAAAATCCCAGAACCACACGGGGGGACCTAGTGAATGACCTGCAGAGAGCTGGGACCAAAGTAACAAAGCCTACCATCAGTAACACACTACGCCGCCAGGGACTCAAATCCTGCTGTGTCCCCCTGCTTAAGCCAGTACATGTCCAGGCCCGTCTGAAGTTTGCTAGAGTGCATTTGGATGATCCAGAAGAGGATTGGGAGAATGTCATATGGTCAGATGAAACCAAAATAGAACTTTTTGGTAAAAACTCAACTTGTCGTGTTTGGAGTACAAAGAATGCTGAGTTGCATCCAAAGAACACCATACCTACTGTGAAGCATGGGGGTGGAAACATCATGCTTTGGGGTGTTTTTCTGCAAAGGGACCAGGACGACTGATCTGTGTAAAGGAAAGAATGAATGGGGCCATGTATCGTGAGATTTTGAGTGAAAACCTCCTTCCATCAGCAAGGGCATTGAAGATGAAACGTGGCTGGGTCTTTCAGCATGACAATGATCCCAAACACACCGCCCGGGCAACGAAGGAGTGGCTTCGTAAGAAGCATTTCAAGGTCCTGGAGTGGCCTAGCCAGTCTCCAGATCTCAACCCCATAGAAAATCTTTGGAGGGAGTTGAAAATCCGTGTTGCCCAGCGACAGCCCCAAAACATCACTGCTCTAGAGGAGATCTGCATTGAGGAATGGGCCAAAATACCAGCAACAGTGTGTGAAAACCTTGTGAAGACTTACAGAAAACGTTTGACCTGTGTCATTGCCAACAAAGGGTATATAACAAAGTATTGAGAAACTGTTGTTATTGACCAAATACTTATTTTCCACCATAATTTGCAAATAAATTCATAAAAAATCCTACAATGTGATTTTCTGGAATTTCTTTTCTCATTTTGTCTGTCATTGTTGACGTGTACCTATGATGAAAATTACAGGCCTCTCTCATCTTTTTAAGTGGGAGAACTTGCACAATTGGTGGCTGACTAAATACTTTTTTCCCCCACTGTAATCAGTAGATGGGCAGGTGAACCACACATCAGAGCCATCTCCACTCCTGGTCAATAGCAGTAGAATCACTCTGGCAGACAAGGCTATGACCAGACGTAGTCCAAGAGAGACTGGCCAGCAGCATGGCGTCCAGGGTTAACGTTGGCTAAACTCTCTATCAAGCTCTACTGTTGGCCTAATGTACTGTGACCTAGCCTACAATTTGTCTAGCCAGTGCTTTTATTTATGTTCATGCAAAGACAGAGAGACTGACAGAGAGAGACTGACAGAGACAGAGAGAAACAGAGAGAGAAACAGAGAGAGAGAGAGAGAGAGAAACCGAGAGAGAGAAACAGAGAGAGCGAGAAAGAGAGAGAGCGAGAAAGAGAGAGAGCGAGAAAGAGAGAGATAGAGAGAAACAGAGAGAGAAACAGCGAGAGAGAGAGGGAAACAGAGAGAGAGAAACACAGAGAGAGAAACACACTGAGAAACACACAGAGAGAAACACACAGAGAAAGAGACACAGAGACACACACACAGAGAGAGAGCGAGAGAGCGCGAGAGAGAGAGAGAGAGAGAGAGTAGCGTGCCACAGCAGGGCTCCCGTGCCTCCACAGAACAAACCCAAACACTCCCAGTCCTGAACACACGCCAGCGGCAGCATACTGCTGGAGCCTGCTGCTTTGGATCAAATTCCCAGAAAGAAAGAAGGTTTGAGGAATTTGGAGAGAGAGCGGCATGGCGATCCGTCTCAGACACAGCTGGAGATTTTGGGGGAAATGAGAAGCATGCACACACACATGAATAAGAGCCAGATGGTTTCCAGGAAGTCATACTTTATTCATAGTGTGCAGAATGGTCCTGAATTTTTTTGGGGAAAAAACAAGCTTCCATTCTGATCCCGCTGACAATGTGCAGGTCCATGGGCTCAGCACAGACACACATATGTACAGACACACAGACTAAATACACCAGACACACACTTCAATACACTCCAGACACCCTGATTCTGAGGACACCAAGAGACAGGTTTGTATGTTTAGCCAGGCCATTTGATGTAGTTTTACACCTGCTAATACATACCTGTGCTAAAGGTTCCTCTGCTTCTTCAAGTAGTTGACCTGCTAAAGGTTCTTCTGCTTCTTCAAGTCGTTGACCTGCTAAAGGTTCCTCTGCTTCTTCAAGTAGTTGACCTGCTAAAGGTTCTTCTGCTTCTTCAAGTCGTTGACCTGCTAAAAGGTTATTCTGCTTCTTCAAGTCGTTGACCTGCTAAAAGGTTATTCTGCTTCTTCAAGTAGTTGACCTGCTAAAGGTTCTTCAAGTAGTTGACCTGCTAAAGGTTCCTCTGCTTCTTCAAGTAGTTGACCTGCTAAAGGTTCCTCTGCTTCAAGTAGTTGACCTGCTAAAGGTTCCTCTGCTTCTTCAAGTAGTTGACCTGTGTTCAAAACATGAACACAGAGCTGCGTACTAGGCCAGAGGCCTGGAAGCTCTAGGAAATTAGAATGTACCATACAACCTTCCTCAGTGAACCGGATACAGGATAAGAGAGAGAGAACAAATGCATTTAATTACATGTATAACATCTGAAGGTGTAACCTTCTCAAAACAAAACCAACCACCATTGACCAATTAAACGATACCAAGTTGACAGTAACCTGACCACCAAGACCCAACCTCCACAGGGTGTCACAGCATCTAAAGGCTTGTGTGGGGGATGAGGCCGATGTAAATAAGACAGAGTTCCTGAGAGGAACATAACACCCCTTTGAGTAATTCAGAGTTCACCCTGTACAGATACAAGTTACCACAGAGATCACACATTCATATAGAAAGCTTCAGAGTTGTCCTCAGTGAACAACTTTCAGATAGATACCAGACATGGATACTATAGCATTATTCTGTCACAATAGTCCTCTGGGTACTGTAACAGAGATCCATGTTGGCCTCTCAGAAGGGGAGGGTTGACTAGTCCTTGGGCATTGTCCTTTGTGCTTTCCTTATGTTCCTGGATCATTTGCCATGCAGCTCCAGGTAACAGAGAGCACATATATTAGGGCCGAGCCTACAACATTGGGGTGTGGCCCGTTTTCCCAGATCACACCTCACCACCATGTCCCAACATGCTGACAGTGAAGACATCAAAACTATGAAATAACACATATGGAATCATGTAGTAACCAAAAATCTAAATATGTGTTAGCCACCCTTTGCCTTGATGACAGCTTTGCACACTCTTGGCATTCTCTTAACCAGCTTCATGAGGTAGTTACCTGGAATGCCTTCTTAAAAGTTAATTTGAAGAATTTCTTTCCTTCTTAAGCCAATCAGTTGTGTTGTGACAAGGTATACAGAAGATAGCCCTACTTGGTAAAAGACCAAGTCCATATTGTGGCAAGAACAGCTCAAATAAGCAAAGAGAAATGACAGTCCATCATTTCCTTAAGAAATTAAGGTCAGTTAATCCGGAAAATGTCAATAACTTTGGAAGTTTCTTCAAGTGCAGTCGCAAAAACCATCAAGCGCTATGACGTAACTGGCTCTCATGAGGACCGCCACAAGAATGGAAGACCCAGATTTACATCTGCTGCAGAGGATAAGTTCATTAGAGTTACCAGCCTCAGAAATTGCAGCACAAATAAATGTTTCACAAAGTTCACGTCACAGACACATCTCAGCATCAACTGTTCAGAGGGGACTGTGTGAATCAGGTCCTTTGATCTGGAGTCCAAATTGGAGATTTTTGGTTCCAACCGCCGTGTCTTTGTGCCGTGTCCGCATGTGTAGTTCCCATCGTAAAGCATGGAGGAGGAGGTGTTATGGTGGCGGTGCTTTGCTGGTGACACTGTCAGTGATTCAAGGCACACTTAACCAGCATGGCTACCACAGCAACAGGACAATTTTTTTACATTTTAGTCATTTAGCAGACGCTCTTATCCAGAGCGACTTACATACGTGCATACATTATTATTATTTTTTTCATACCTGCCGGCCATTCCCTCCCCTACCCTGGACGACGCTGGGCAAATTGTGCACCGCCCCATGGGTCTCCCGGTCGCGGCCGGCTACGACAGAGCCTGGATTCGAACCAGGACCTTAGACCACTGCGCCACTCGGGAGGCATACACAATGGGGACAATGACACAGGCTGTGTAAGGGCTATTTTACCAAGAAGGAGAGTGATGGAGTGCTGCATTAGATGACCTGGCCTCCACAATCCCCTGACCTCAACCCAATTGAAATGGTTTGGGATGAGTCGGACAGCAGAGTGAAGGAAAAGCAGCCAACGAGTGCTCAGCATATGTGGGAACTCCTTCAAGACTGTTGGGAAAGCATTCCAGGTGAAGCTTGTTGAGAGAATGCCAAGAGTGTGCAAATCTGTCATCAAGGCAAATGGTGGCTATATGAAGAATCTCAAATATAAAATATATTTTGATTTGTTTAACCCTTTTTATATATAATATAAAATGAGAGACTGTGGACCCACCTCTTCTTCCTGGTGAGGATGAGGACGTCATTGAAGAGGAAGAAGTAGACCTGCTGTCGTGACGTCCTCTTGGAGAAGATACCGTTCTCCTCCACGAAGGCTGTGAGCTCCCCTCGCTTTACCATCCACCTAGAGGACGACACCAGTGGGAAGGGCTGGGGGGGGAGGGGGGAGAGACAGAGAGGACAGAGGAGAGAGAGAGAGAGACACAGAGATGATCAATATCAAGGCTTACAAAATGGAATGTGCTCCAGACATTCCTGTGTGTGTGTGTGTGTGTGTGTGTGTGTGTGTGTGTGTGTGTGTGTGTGTGTGTGTGTGAACAACTGGCTATGAGGGCAAGGAGGTTCACAGCCCTGCAGACATCTGTTAGGCCCATATGTTACAACAGCACTTTCCCACACCGCTATCACACTTGTGCCTGCCGAAGTGTGTGTGTGTGTGTGTTTGTCTACACAAGTGTGTGCATGTGAGTGTGTGTATATAGAGTACCAGTCAAAAGTTTGGTTTGAGTTTACATTGTAGAATAATAGTGAAGACATCAAAAATTATGAAATAACACATATGGAATCATGTAGTAACCAAAACAAGTGTTAAACAAATCAGAATATATTTGAGATTTTTCAAATAGCCACCCTTTGCCTTGATGACAGCTTTGCACACTCGTGGCATTCTCTCAACCTGCTTCACCAGGAATGCTATTCCAACAATCTTGAAGGAGTTCCCACATATGCTGAGCACTTGTTGGCTGCTTTTCCTTCACTCTGCCGTCCGACTCATCCCAAACCATCTCAATTGGGTTGAGGTCGGGGGATTGTGGAAGCCAGGTAATTTGACGCAACACTCTCCTTCTTGGTAAAATAGCCCTTACACAGCCTGGAGGTGTGTTGGATCATTGTCCTGTTGAAAAACAAATGATAGTCCCACTAAGCCCAAACCAGATGGGATGGCGTATCGCTGTAGAATGCTGTGGTAGCCATGCTGGTTAAGTGTGCCTTGAATTATAAATAAATCACAGACAGTGTCACCAGCAAAGGAACTACACATGCGGAGATCATCCGTTCACCCACACCGCGTCTCACAAAGACACGGCGGTTGGAACCAAAAATCTCCAGACCAAAGGACAAATTTCCACCGGTCTAATGTCCATTGCTCGTGTTTCGTGGTCCAAGCAAGTCTCTTCTTCTTATTGGTGTCCTTTAGTATTGGTTTCTTTGCAGCAATTCAACCATGAAGGCCTGATTCACACTGTCTCCTCTGAACAGTTGATGTTGAGATGTGTCTGTGACTTGAACTCTGTGAATCATTTATTTGGGCTGCAATTTCTGAGGCTGGTAACTCTAATGAACTTATCCTCTGCAGCAGAGGTAACTCTGGGTCTTCCATTCCTGTGGTGGTCCTCATGAGAGCCAGTTTCATCATAGCGCTTGATGGTTTTTGCGACTGCACTTGAAGAAACGTTCAAAGACATTCTCCGTATTGACTGACATTCATGTCTTAAAGTAATGATGGACTGTCGTTTCTCTTTGCTTATTTGAGCTGTTCTTGCCATAATATGGACTTGGTCTTTTACCAAATAGGGCTATCTTCTGTATACCCCCCTACCTTGTCACAACACAACACAACACAACTGATTGGCTCAAACGCATTAAGAATGAAAGACATTCCACAAATTAACTTTTAGTTGAAATGCATTCCAGGTGACTACCTCATGAAGCTGGTGAGAGAATGCCAAGAGTGTGCAAAGCTGTCATCAAGGCAAAGGGTGGCTATTTGAAGAATCTCAAATATAACATATATTTTGATTTGTTTAACACTTTTGTGGTTACTACATGATTCCATATGTGTTATTTCATAGTTTTGATGTCTTCACTATTATTCTACAATGTAGAAAATAGTAAAAATAAAGAAAAACCCTTGAATGAGTAGGTGCGTCCAAACTTTTGACTGGTAGTGTGTGTACAGTACATCTGTTTGAATATACATCTCTGTGTGTGTGTGTGTGTGTGTGTCTACGCGTTCTGTATGTGTGAGAGAGAAAAATGTGAACATCTCTAACACACTGTTCAAAACACACTTGTCCAAATCAACAGATGAAGAAATGGGGTGTGATTCAAAGAGGCTGCTGGGAAATGACCCTGTGAACATATGCACAGAACATAACACCATGTGTGTGTGTTTATGAGTGTGTGTGTGTGTTTATGAGTGTGTGTGTGTGTGTGTTTTACTTTGTATTGCAGCAGCAACTGTTATATAGGACCATGACTCCTCTCCATTTCACACCAGTAGAGAAACGGACCATGACTCCTCTCCATTTCACACCAGTAGAGAAACGGACCATGACTCCTCTCCATTTCACACCAGTAGAGAAACTTCATGATGCCTCCCTGTGTGTCTCTCCCCTGGGAGACCGCCTGGGAAATGTCAGGTATGACCAGGAACACCCCCAAATGTTCCTCAAAAGCAGAGGGGGACAGCTAATGGTAATACCTTCGCAGTATCTCATGGTACGGGCTTTAAAGCTAGAATCCTTAGTTGCTACATACATTTTTTTTTCTTATAAATTAAATGATATATAGCCATTGATTCTTAAAAGAATGACTTACGTCTCATGAGCTTAGTTTAACTGTCGTACCCCAACATATAAGCTTGTTTTACTCCAAACACTGTACAGCCTTAAAAAACGTGCTTAAAACTATCATCTTGATATCATGGATGGTCAGTCCTCGCATACATAGCTCTGTTTATGAATTTGAAAGTTTCTTCCAGGCCCATCCCTCAGCTTTTACCAAGCCCCCACCGCCTTTGTTTTGTTGACAAACGGAGGTCAGGAGGTCAGGAGCGTTGCGCAGCATGTTAAAAACCTTATGTGCAGTACATATTCTGCTGTTCTATCGCGCATGCAGTGATGTCAGAGGGGGGAACAGAGTTAGGTCTTTGTTGTTGCAATATCCCAAAACGTACGTGGCAGTTTCACCATTAAGGATTCCAGGTTTAAGGATTCTAGCTCTCCAGGAACAGGGTTGGAGTGTCCTGGTCCATAGTATCTTATAGTGACCTTAACAGCTCTTCAGGATATACAGTAGGTTAACAGATATAGGCCTCACTGGGGTTAATTGAGACAGTCACCAAGCCCAGCTACAGGCACCACTGGGGTTAATTGAGACAGTCACCAAGCCCAGCTACAGGCACCACTGGGGTTAATTGAGACAGTCACCAAGCCCAGCTACAGGCACCACTGGGGTTAATTGAGACAGTCACCAAGCCCAGCTACAGGCACCACTGGGGTTAATAGAGTTACCATACTGTACTACATAATTCCAAGCCCATCTCCTTACCTTGATCTTAAACTCCAGTTGGGAGTTGATGGTGTACATCATCTCTGTTCTCTCCATGGTACGGGCCCCTTCGTTACACTTACGCACCACCTAACACACACACACACACACACACACACACACACACAGAGTTACAAGCACGCACAGACGCACGGACACAAACGTGCAGTTGCATGCAGGCTCACATACAAAGACCACAGGAAAACACAGGCTCTTCCTTGATGTCATGTTGAGATGGGCTTTGACCTTTGACCTGGCATCAGTTTGGGTTTGACCCCAGTTGACCTCTCACCTTGCTGACTGATTGGAGGGCTTTCTTACAGGCCTCATACTGAGCTGAGTCTTTAGAAGCCTTCTGACAAATGACCTGAAACAGAAAGAGGGGTCAGAGGTCAGAGCAGATCACGCACACACAGTGGCTGGGAGCCAGGACAGTGTGTTCTTTATCAAAGGGCTGATGTAATAAAGTCTGTGTACACAGTAGAGTATGATGTAATAAAGTCTGTGTACACAGTAGAGTATGATGTAATAAAGTCTGTGTACACAGTAGAGTATGATGTAATAAAGTCTGTGTACACAGTAGAGTATGATGTAATAAAGTCTGTGTACACAGTAGAGTATGATGTAATAAAGTCTGTGTACACAGTAGAGTATGATGTAATAAAGTCTGTGTACACAGTAGAGTATAATGTAATAAAGTATGTGTACACAGTAGAGTATGATGTAATAAAGTCTGTGTACACAGTAGAGTATGATGTAATAAAGTCTGTGTACACAGTAGAGTATGATGTAATAAAGTCTGTGTACACAGTAGAGTGTGATGTAATAAAGTCTGTGTACACAGTAGAGTGTGATGTAATAAAGTCTGTGTACACAGTAGAGCATGATGTAATAAAGTCTGTGTACACAGTAGAGTATGATGTAATAAAGTCTGTGTACACAGTAGAGTTGATGTAATAAAGTCTGTGTACACAGTAGAGTATAATGTAATAAAGTCTGTGTACACAGTAGAGTATGATGTAATAAAGTCTGTGTACACAGTAGAGTATGATGTAATAAAGTCTGTGTACACAGTAGAGTATGATGTAATAAAGTCTGTGTACACAGTAGAGTATGATGTAATAAAGTCTGTGTACACAGTAGAGTGTGATGTAATAAAGTCTGTGTACACAGTAGAGCATGATGTAATAAAGTCTGTGTACACAGTAGAGTATGATGTAATAAAGTCTGTGTACACAGTAGAGTGTGATGTAATAAAGTCTGTGTACACAGTAGAGTATGATGTAATAAAGTCTGTGTACACAGTAGAGTATGATGTAATAAAGTCAGTAGAGTGTGCCTGGGAGAGGCTTCCAGAACACCTCTCTCTAACGCTGCTGTCATGAACACACACGCACACACACACACACACACACACACACACACACACACACGCACGCACACACACACACACACACACACGCACAGCGGTTGGAAGCATTAAGTGTAACCAAAACTTTCTCAGGGCTCAAAAGTCTCATACTTCATGGCCTAGTATCCTTCCTTCAACCTCAAGGGAACAACTAGAACAGGGAAAGAGAGAGAAGAGGAGAGCGATAGAACAGTAAGTGAAACCAAAGAACCAATGAATGGACAAACATTTCTAGGTCAATAGTTAGGAGCTGAGCTCTTTGAGGCCAGTTAAGATGAAGGCATCTATAGATGAAGGCTACTATAGATGAAGGCTACAGTAGATGAAGGCTACAGTAGATGAAGGCTACAGTAGATGAAGGCTACAGTAGATGAAGGCTACAGTAGATGAAGGCTACAGTAGATGAAGGCTACTGTTGGTGAAGGCTACAGTAGGTGAAGGCTAGAGTAGGTGAAGGCTACTGTAGGTGAAGGCTAATATAGATGAAGGCTACAGTAGATGAAAGCTACAGTAGATGAAAGCTACAGTAGATGAAGGCTACTGTAGATGAAGGCTACTATAGATGAAGGCTACTAATAGATGAAAGCTACAGTAGATGAAAGCTACAGTAGATGAAGGCTACTATAGATGAAGTCTACTATACATGAAGGCTGCAGTAGATGAAGGCTACTATAACTGAAGGCTACAATAGATGAAGGCTACAGTAGATGAAGGCTACTATAACTGAAGGCTACAATAGACGAAGGCTACAATAGCTGAAGCCTACTATAGCTGAAGCCTACTATAGCTGAAGCCTACTATAACTGAAGGATACAATAGCTGAAGCCGGACATGAACGATCTGCTTGCGTGTTGATACACTGGTGGTTTGTTGTGGCAGAGTATTGGCGCTAAAATGTGTTGCTGGAGTCCGGCATGCTAGCTGGCTGTGGCGTCATATGACTTGATGCCCGGACGATTTTCACGGAATAATACTGCACCTAGTTAGCTAGCTGAATAAACTGAGTTAGTCTATTCCTAGAAACATTGAACCGCTGTAGTTTACAACAATTATAGTTTCTGAGGTGGAAGTTGGGAGAGTTATATTTGGGAGTTGTGCTGAGGGAGGCCCCGCTCTCTCCTTTCCCAGATGTTTAGTTCATTTCATTCCGATCTCCTCTGCATTATTGTAGCCATTTGCTGCAGCCTGTCAACTATGCCTCTGCCTATCCCTGTTCTCTCCTCTCCGCACAGGCTACACAAACACCTCACACCGCGTGGCTGCTGCCTCTCTAACCTGGTGGTCCCTGCACGCACCACCCACCTGGAGTTCCAGGTCTCAGGCAGCCTCTGGAACTGCCGTTCTGCTGCCAACAAGGCAGACTTCATCCCAGCCTATGCTACCCTCCAGTCCCTCGACTTCTTGGCGCTGACGGAAACATGGATTACCACTGAAAACACTGCTACTCATACTGTTCTCTCCTCGTCTGACCATGTGTTCTCGCATACCCCGAGAGCATCTGGTCAGCGGGGTGGTGGCACAGGAATCCTCATCTCTCCCAAGTGGACATTCTCAATTTTTCCCCTAACCCATCTGTCTATCTCCTCATTTGAATTCCATGCTGTCACAGTCACTAGCCCATTTAAGCTTAATATCCTTGTCATCTATCGCCCTCCAGTTTCCCTTGGAGAGTTCATCAATGAGCTTGACGCCTTGATAAGTTCCTTTCCTGAGGATGGCTCACCCCTCACAGTTCTGGGGGATATCAACCTCCCTACGTCTACATTTGACTCATTTCTCTCTGCCTCCTTCTTTCCACTCCTCTCCTCTTTTGACCTCACCCTCTCACCGTCCCCCCCTACTCACAAGGCAGGCAATATGCTTGACCTCATCTTTACTAGATGCTGTTCTTCTACTAATCTCACTGCAACTCCCCTCCATGTCTCCGACCACTACTTTGTATCCTTTTCTCTCTCGCTCTCCTCCAACACTACTCACTCTGCCCCTACACAGATGGTAATGCGCCGTCGCAACCTTCGCTCTCTCTCTCCCGCTACTCTCTCCTCTTCCATCCTATCATCTCTTCCCTCTGCTCAATCCTTCTCCCTCCAATATCCTGATTCTGCCTCCTCAACCCTCTCCTCTCCTCCCTTTCTGCATCATTTGACTCTCTATGTCCCCTATCCTCCCGGCCGGCTCGGTCCTCCCCTCCAGCTCCGTGGCTTGATGACTCATTGCGAGCTCACAGAACAGAGCTCCGGGCAGCTGAGCGGAAATGGAAGAAAACTAGACTCCCTGCGGACCTGGCATCTTTTCACTCCCTCCTCTCTACATTTTCTTCATCTGTTTTCTGCTGCTAAGGCCACTTTCTACCACGCTAAATTCCAAGCATCTGCCTCTAACCCTAGGAAGCTCTTTGCCACATTCTCCTCCCTGCTGAATCCCCCCCCCCCTCCCCCTCCCTCTCTGTGGATGACTTCGTCAACCACTTTGAAAAGAAGGTTGACGACATCCGATCCTCGTTTGTTCAGTCAAATGACACTGCTGGTCCTGCTCACACTGCCCTACCCTATGCTTTGACTTCTTTCTCCCCTCTCTCTCCAGATAAAATCTTGCGACTTGTGACTGCAGGCCGCCCAACAACCTGCCCGCTTGACCCTATCCCCTCCTCTTTTCTCCAGACCATCTCCGGTGACCTTCTCCCCTACCTCACCTCGCTGATCAACTCATCCTTGACCGCTGGCTATGTCCCTTCCGTCTTCAAGAGAGCGAGAGTTGCACCCCTTCTCAAAAAACCAACACTCGATCCCTCTGATGTCAACAACTACAGACCAGTATCCCTTCTTTCTTTTCTCTCCAAAACTATTGAGCGTGCCGTCTTTAGCCAACTCTCTTGCTATCTCTCTCAGAATGACCTTCTTGATCCAAACCAGTCAGGTTTCAAGACTGGTCATTCAACTGAGACTACTCTTCTCTGTGTCACGGAGGCTCTCCGCACTGCTAAAGCTAATTCTCTCTCCTCTGCTCTTGTCCTTCTAGACCTGTCTGCTGCCTTTGAAACTGTGAACCATCAGATCCTCCTCTCCACCCTCTACGAGCTGGGCATCTCCGGCGCGGCTCACTCTTGGATTGCATCCTACCTGACCGGTCGCTCCTACCAAGTGGCGTGGCGAGAAGCTGTCTCCGCACCACGTGCTCTCACCACTGGTGTCCCCCAGGGCTCAGTTCTAGGCCCTCTCCTATTCTCGCTATACACCAAGTCACTTGGCTCTGTCATATCCTCACATGGCCTCTCCTATCATTGCTACGCTGACGACACACAACTAATCTTCTCCTTTCCCCCTTCTGATAACCAGGTGGCGAATCGCATCTCTGCATGTCTGGCAGACATATCAGTATGGATGACGGATCACCACCTCAAGCTGAACCTTGGCAAGACGGAGCTGCTATTCCTCCCGGGGAAGGACTGCCTGTTCCATGATCTCGCCATCACGGTTGACAACTCCGTTGTGTCCTCCTCCAAGAGTGCGAAGAGCCTTGGCGTGACCCTGGACAACACCCTGTCGTTCTCCGCTAACATCAAGGCGGTGACCCGATCCTGTAGTTTCATGCTCTACAACATTCGGAGAGTACGACCCCTGCCTTACACAGGAAGCGGCACAGGTCCTAATCCAGGCACTTGTCATCTCCCGTCTGGATTACTGCAACTCGCTGTTGGCTGGGCTCCCTGCCTGTGCCATTAAACCCCTACAACTCATCCAGAATGCCGCAGCCCGTCTGGTGTTCAACCTTCCCAAGTTCTCTCACGTCACCCCCCTCCTCCGCACACTCCACTGGCTTCCAGTTGAAGCTCGCATCTGTTACAAGACCATGGTGCTTGCCTATGGAGCTGTGAGGGGAACGGCACCTCCGTACCTTCAGGCTCTGATCAGTCCCTACACCCAAACGAGGTCATTGCGTTCATCCACCTCTGGCCTGCTGGCTCCCCTTCCTCTGTGGAAGCATAGTTCCCGCTCAGCCCAGTCAAAACTGTTCGCTGCTCTGGCACCCCAATGGTGGAACAAGCTCCCTCACGACGCCAGGACAGCGGAGTCACTCACCACCTTCCGGAGACATTTGAAACCCCACCTCTTTATGGAATACCTGGGATAGGATAAAGTAATCATTCTACCCCTCCCTTACCCCAAGGATACAGTAAATGAAGGCTACAGTAGATGAAGGCTACAGTAGATGAAGGCTACTGTAGATGAAGGCTACTGTAGATGAAGGCTACTAATAGATGAAGGCTACAGCAGGTGAAGGCTACTGTAGGTGAAGGCTACTGTAGGTGAAGGCTACTGTAGGTGAAAGCTACAGTAGATGAAAGCTACTGTTGATGAAGGCTACAGTAGATGAAGGCTACAGTAGTGTGGGTCATGGTGATTTCACTGGGGGAATGTAAGCCAATCATCAACAGTGGTGCAATAAAAGTCAGTAGGTCCTCAGTAATGTTATTGTGTGTGTGTGTGTGTGTGTGTGTGTGTGTGTGTGTGTGCGCGTGTGTGTGTGTGTGTGTGTGTGTGATAATAAAACTAACAGTTTAGAGATCAGAAACACATGACCTGCTATTCCAAGTTCAACATACTGGAGGAGACAGATAGATGAGAGAATAGAGGGGGGAGGGATGAGAGAATGGAGGGGGGGGATGAGGGATTGAGAAGAATAGAGGGGGGCGGGATGATGAGACATGGGGGGGGGAGGGATGAGAGAATAGAGGGGGGAGGGGATGAGAGAATAGAGGGGGGGGATGAGGGATATGGAGGGGGGAGGATGGAGATAGGGGGGGGAGGGGATGAGAGAATGAGAGGGGGGAGGGTTGAGGAGCATAGCGGGGGGAGGCGGGAACTGGAGGGGGGAGGGATGAGAGAATAGAGGGGGGAGGGATGAGAGAATAGAGGGGGGAGGGATGAGAGAATGGAGGGGGGGGGAGGGAATGAGAGACATGAGAGGGGGGAGGGATGAGAGAATAGAGGGGGGGATGGGATGAGAGAATGAGGGGGGAGGGATGGAGAATGGAGGGGGGAGGGATGAGGAGAATAGAGGGGGGAGGGAGGAAGAGAATTAGAGGGGGGAGGGATGAGAGAATGGAGGGGGGAGGGATGAGAGAGAGATGGAGGGGGAGGGATGAGAGAATGGAGGGGGGAGGGATGAGAGAAGGGAGGGGGGAGGGATGAGAGAATGGAGGGGGGAGGGATGACGAGAATGGAGGGGGGAGGGATGAGAGAATGGAGGGGGGAGGGATGAGAGAATGGAGGGGGAGGGATGAGAGAAGGAGGGGGGAGGGATGAGAGAATGGAGGGGGGAGGGATGAGAGAATGGAGGGGGGAGGGATGAGAGATAGGAGGGGGAGGGATGAGAGAATGGAGGGGGAGGGAGGGATGAGAGAATGGAGGGGGGAGGGTGAGAGGAATGGAGGGGGAGGATGAGAGAATAGAGGGGGGAGGGATGAGAGAATAGAGGGGGGGAGGGATGAGAGAATGGAGGGGGGAGGGATGAGAGCAATGGAATGGGGGGGAGGAGATGAGAGAATAGAGGGGGAGGGATGAGAGAATGGAGGGGGGAGGATGAGAGAATGGAGGGGGGATGAGGAAAAGGGGAGAGGGGGGAGGGATGAGAGAATGGAGGGAGGGGGGGGGAGGGATGAGGAATGGAGGGGGGAGGGATGAGAGAAATGGAGGGGGGAGGGGATGAGAGAATGGAGGGGGGGGGATGAGAGAAAGGGGGGAGGATGGGAATAGGGGGGGGGGAGAAGAATGGAGGGGGGAGGGATGAGAGAATGGAGGGGGAGGGATGAGAGAATAGGGGGGAGGGATGAGAGAATGGAGGGGGGGGGGATGAGAGAATGGGAGGGGGAGGGATGAGAGAATGAGAGGGGGGAGGGGGGGATGAGAAAATGGAGGGGGGAGGGATGAGAAAAGGAGGGGGGGGAGAGGAGGGGGGAGAGAATGGAGGGGGGAGAGAATGGAGGGGGGAGGGGGGAGATAATGGAGGGGGAGGGATGAGAGAATGGAGGGGGGAGGGATGAGAGAATGGAGGGGGGAGGGATGAGAGAATGGAGGGGGAGGGATGAGAGAATGGAAGGGGGAGGAATGAGAGAATGGAGGGGGGAGAGAATGGAGGGGGGAGGGATGAGAGAATGGATGGGGGAGGAATGAGAGAATGCCAACCCCCCTCCATTCTCATCCTAAAGATGCTCTATTGGGTTTGGTCAACAACAATGTTCAGATACGCTGTGGCGTTCAAACATGTATCAATTGGCATCAAGGTACCTAACGTGTGCCAGGAAAACATTTCCCACACCATTACCCCACCGCCAACCTGTACAGTTGACACCAGGCATGACGGGTCCATGGAATCATGCTGCTTACGCCAAATCCTGACTCTGACATCAGCGTGACGCAACAGGAACTGGGATTCGTCGGAACGGGGGATGTTTTTCCACTCCTCAAATGTCCAGTGTTGGTGATCACGGGCCCACTGGAGCAGCTTCTTCTAGTTTTTAGCTGATAGGAGTGGAACCCGGTGTGGTCGTCTGCTGAAATACCCCATCTGTGACAAGGACTGAGGAGTTGTGTGTTTCCCAAGATGCCGGTCTGCACACCACTGTTGTACTGCGCTGTTATTTGCCTGTTTGTGGCCCACCTGTTAGCTTGCACGATTCTGGCCATTCTCCTTCAACCTCTCTCATCAACAAGCTGTTTTCGCCCACAGGGCTGCTGCTGACTGGATGTTTTTTGTTTAATCGCACCATTCTCTGTAAACCCTAGACACTGCCGTGCGTGAAAAGCCTTTTTTCTGAGATACTGGATCCGACCATTATACCACGCTCAAAGTCACTTAGGTCACTTGTTTTGCCCATTCTAACATTCAATCGAACAGTAACTGAATGCCTTCGATGCCTGTCTGCCTGCTTTATATAGCAAGCCACGGCCACGTGACTCACTGTCTGTAGGAGCGAACCATTTTGGTGTACCTAATCAACTGGCCGGTGAGGGTATATGAGTGTTAGATGTGTGTCCAGTATATGTGTGTTGTGTGTTTGCTCACGTCCATCAGCAGAGGCAGGCGGGTGACTCTCTGCATTGGCAGGATTAGGAAGGAGATCATAGGGAGGTTCCTGCAGTCTGGGTGGGCCTCAATACGAGTCAACACCTCCTTAAACACTGGATTCTTACTACTTCTGGGACAGAGAGAGAGAGGGGGGGAGAGGGGCAGTTATCAGTCACAGTTCAAAGTTGTGTGTGTGGTGAGTGTGTGTGTGTGTGTGGTGAGTGTGTGTGTGTGTACTCACACTAGCCTCTGTAGGGTCCTCTGCTGGTAAACCTCATTGGAGCAGTAGGTGATGTAGGGGTCAAAGTTGGACTGGGCGTGTCTGAACACTATGTCACTGATGTCATCTATAACATGTTCTGCTGGTGCTTGTCCTCTAATCTTAAAGAACCTAACGAGAGACGGAGAGAGGACAAGAGGAGAGAGAGGAGAGAGGGGGGAAGCGACGCAAGAGAGAGGACGAAAGCGAGACCGGAGAGCTTGAAAGAGGGAGCCGACGAGAGACGAGAGAGAGGAGAGAAGGAGAGTTGAACCACGGGGAGAGCAGAGGGAAGAATTGAACCCGGGAGGTGAGAAGAAGAGAGCAGAGGGAGGGAAGGTAAAGAGGGGAACGAGAGAGCAGAGAGGAAGAGAGAGAGAAGCGGAGAGATAGGACGAGACCAGAGAGAGAAGAGGGATGAGTGAGAGAGAGGAGAGACGGAGGGAGAAACGAGAAGGGGCCGAGGAGAGAGGGGGAGTGGAAAAGGGAAGGACCGAGTGAGTGGAAGAGATGGGAGAGAGAAAGGAGGAAAGCGAGTGAGAGAGAGAAAAAGAGAGAGGAGAGGAGCGAGGACAGAGAGAGAGAGAGGAGAGATGAGAGAGGAGAGACAGAGAGAGAGAGCAGAGGGAGGGGAGCAGGAGAGGAGAGGAGAAGAGCAGATGAGAGCAGAGAGAGAGCGGAGAGAGAGAGAAGAGCGACGAAGAGAGAGGAGAGAGAGAGAGAAGAGAGAGAAGAGCAGAGAGGAGAGAGCAGAGCAGAGAGAGAGCAGAGAGATGAGAGGCAAGAGAGAGAGAGAGAGGAGAGAGAGCAGAGAGACAGAGAGAGAGATGGAGAGAGAGACAGAGAGAGAGACAAAGAGGAAGATGAAGGGGGGAGAGCGATAGATTGAGTTTTGATAATGCTTAGTTGTGCAATCAGAGGTCTGCATGTACACATTGAACTCAGTGGGAAACCAACAAGCATTTAACATGAGATCAGTTCTCCTTCTACACGTCTCAGGAAGGACTAGCATGTCAGAGATGCCATACATGACAATGGACTGAGTCAGGATGATCTGCCTGGTTTAGTCATCGCACGCACCCACACACACACACAAACTCAGGAAGTGCATCTGACACCTCTGTCCCAGCTTCGCCATACCATCACTGGAGAGAACCTCCTTGACCCCTTAAAATAGACTGGGGGAACCATTAGCAGGTAACACACAGGGCTTCCTCTTCCTGTTTGCATGGCCGCTTTAACGACAAATCTGGTCCCCACAGTGACATACAGGAAACTGTCACAGAGCCACAGGAAGTTGACTTCAACAAGTTGGGGCTTGATCCAACTCATCTGCAGAGCCACCTTATAGTGACCATCCCCATTTCACACACACACACACTAGGGATGGGCATTTACAATCATTTGAAGTTACTTGTGTCTGTGGGGTGAAGTACTTGTGTCTGTGAGGTGAAGTTACTTGTGTTGAGGTTACTGTGTTCTGTCGGGGTGAGGTACTGGGTCTGTGGGGGAGTACGAGTGTACACATGTCTGTAGGAGGGCGAAGTTAAAATGTAGTAGGTAGGTTACAGTGTTGGGTGAGGTTACATGTCTGTAGGATGAGGTTACACGTGTCTGTGGGTGAGGTACACTGTTGTAGGTGAGGTACATGTCAGTGTCGTAGGGTGAGGTACACATGTGTGGATGAGGTTACACGTGTCTGTAGGGTGAGGTTACACAGGTAGGGTGGTTACACGTGTAGGGTGAGGTTACACGTGTTTAGGAGGGGTACACGTGTCTGTAGGATGAGGTTACACTGTCGTAGTGTAGGTGAGGTACACATGTCTGTAGGATGAGGTTACACGTGTCTGTAGGGTGAGGTTACACATGTCTGTAGGGTGAGGTTACACATGTCTGTAGGATGAGGTTACACGTGTCTGTAGGGTGAGGTTACACGTGTCTGTAGGATGAGGTTACACATGTCTGTAGGATGAGGTTACACATGTCTGTAGGGTGAGGTTACACTGTCTGTAGGTAGGTTACACGTGTCGTAGGTGAGGTTACACAGTGTCTGTAGGATAGGTTACACTGTCCATGTAGGATGAGGTTACACGTTGTCTGTAGGGTGAGGTTACACGTGTCATAGGTAGGTTCACTGCAGAGGTGTACACATGTCTGTAGGATGAGGTTACACGTGTCTGTAGGGTGAGGTTACACGTGTCAGTAGGGTAGGTTACACGTGTCAGTAGGGTAGGTTACACGTGTCAGTAGGGTAGGTTACACGTGCAGTTAGGTGAGGTTACACTGCCAGTAGGGTAGGTTACACGTGCCGTAGGGTAGGTTACACTGTCTGTAGGGTGAGGTTTACACGTGCTCGTAGGGTAGGTTACACGTGTCAGGTAGGTTAGGGGTAGGGATATAGGTACACGTGCCAGTAGGGTAGGGTTAAAACGTTGGTCAGTAGAGGTAGGTGACACGTTGCCAGTTAGGGTAGGTTACACCGTCCAGTAGGGTAGGTTACACGTTGCCAGTTAGGGGAGGTACACGGGGGTAGGTTACACGTGCCAGTAGGGTAGGTTACACGTGCCAGTAGGGTAGGTTACACGTGCCAGTAGGGTAGGTTACACGTGCCAGTAGGGTAGGTTACATGTATTTAGATTGCAGGTAGGTAGGTATTGTAGTTAGGTATTGTAGGTAGTTTATCTAGGTAGTTATTGTAGGTAATTATTGTAGGTAAGTATTGTATTCGGCTGAGCCCGGTGATATTTGAGGGTTTCAGTGAAATGTAAGTGAGGGAGGCCCCGCTCTCTCACTTTCCCAGATGTTTAGTTCATTTCATTCCGATCCCCTTTGCTTTACTGTAGCCATTTTCTGTAGCATGTCAACTATGTGTCTGTCTATCCCTGTTCTCTCCTCTCTGCACAGACCATACAAACGCTTCACACCACGTGGCTGTTGCCACTAATCTGGTGGTCCCTGCGCGCACCACCCACCTGGAGTTCCAGGTCTCTGGCAGCCTCTGGAACTGCCGTTCTGCGGCCAACAAGGCAGAGTTCATCTCAGCCTATGCTACCCTCCAGTCCCTCGACTTGGCGCTGACGGAAACATGGATTACCACAGACAACACTGCTACTCCTACTGCTCTTTCCTCGTCTAACCATTTGTTCTCAAATACCCCGAGAGCATCTGGTCAGCGCGGCGGTGGCACAGGAATCCTCATCTCTCCCAAGTGGACATTCTCTCTTTATCCCCTGACCCATCTGTCTATCTCCTCATTTGAATTCCATGCTGTCACAGTCACTACCCCATTCAAGTTTAACATCCTTGTCATTTATCGCTCTCCAGGTTCCCTTGGAGAGTTCATCAATGAGCTTGACGCCTTGATAAGTTCCTTTCCTGAGGATGGCTCACCCCTCACAGTTCTGGGTGACATTAACCTCCCTATGTCTGCCTTTGACTAATTTCTCTCTGCCTCCTCCTTTCCACTCCTTTCCTCTTTTGACCTCACCCTCTCATCGTCCCCCCCTACTCACAAGGCAGGCAATACGCTTGACCTCATCTTTACTAGATGCTGTTCTTCTACTAATCTCACTGCAACTCCCCTCCAAGACCACTACTTTGTATCCTTTTCTCTCTCGCTCTCCTCCAACACTACTCACTCTGCCCCTACTCAGATGGTAATGCGCCGTCGCAACCTTCGCTCTCTCTCCCGCTACTCTCTCGTCTTCCATCCTATCATCTCTTCCCTCTGCTAAATCCTTCTCCCTCCGATCTCCTGATTCTGCCTTCTCAACCCTCCTCTCCTTCCTTTCTGCATCTTTTGACTCTCTATGTCCCCTATCCTCCCGGCCGGCTCGGTCCTCCCCTCCTGCTCTGTGGCTTGACGACTCATTGCGAGCTCACAGAAGAGGGCTCCGGGCAGCCGAGCGGAAATGGAGGAAAACTAGACTCCCTGCGGACCTGTCATCTTTTCACTCCCTCCTCCCTCCTCTCTACATTCTCTTCCTCTGTTTCCGCTGCTAAAGCCACTTTCTACCACTCTATATTTCAAGCCTCTGCCTCTAACCCTAGGAAGCTCTTTGCCACCTTCTCCTCCTTACTGAATCCCCCTCCTCCTCCTCCCCCTCCCTCCCCTCCCTCTCTGTGGATGACTTTGTCAACCATTTTGAAAAGAAGGTTGACGACATCCGATCCTAATTTATTAAGTCAAATGACACCGCTGGTCCTGCTCACACTGCCCTACCCTAGGCTTTGACTTCTTTCTCCCCTCTCTCTCCAGATGAAATCTTGCCCGCTTGACCCTATCCCCTCCTCTCTTCTCCAGACCATTTCCGGAGACCTTCTCCCTTACCTCACCTCGCTCATCAACTCATCCTTGACCGCTGGCCATGTCCCTTCCGTCTTCAAGAGAGCGAGAGTTGCACCCCTCCTCAAAAAACCTACACTCGATCCCACCGATGTCAACAACTACAGACCAGTATCCCTTCTTTCTTTTCTCTCCAAAACTCTTGAGCGTGCCGTCTCTAGCCAACTCTCCTGCTATCTCTCTCAGAATGACCTTCTTGATCTAAACCAGTCAGGTTTCAACTGAGACTGCTCTTCTCTCCGCACTGCTAAAGCTAACTCTCTCTCTCTCCTCTGCTCTTATCCTTCTAGACCTATCCGCTGCCTTTGATACTGTGAACCATCAGATCCTCCTCTCCACCCTCTCCGAGTTGGGCATTTCCGGCGCTGCTCACTCTTGGATTGCGTCCTACCTGACAGGTCGCTCCTACCAGGTGGCGTGGCGACAATCTCTCTCCGCACCACGTGCTCTCACCACTGGTGTCCCCCAGGGCTCAGATCTAGGCCCTCTCCTATTCTCTCTATACATCAAGTCACTTGGCTCTGTCATATCCTCACATGGTCTCTCCTATCATTGCTACGCAGATGACACACAATTAATTTATCCTTTCCCCCTTCTGATAACCAGGTGGCGAATCGCATCTCTGCATGTCTGGCAGACATATCAGTGTGGATGTCGGATCACCACCTCAAGCTGAACCTTGGCAAGATGGAGCTGCTCTTCCTCCCAGGGAAGGACTGCCCGCTCCATGATCTCGCCATCACGGTTGACAACTCCGTTGTGTCCTCCTCCCAGAGTGCAAAGAACCTTGGCGTGACCCTGGACAACACCCTGTCGTTCTCCGCTGACATCAAAGCGGTGACCCGATCCTGCAGGTTCATGCTCTACAACATTCGCAGAGTACAACCCTACCTTACACAGAAAGTGGCACAGGTCCTAATCCAGGCACTTGTCATCTCCCGTCTGGATTACTGCAACTCGCTGTTGGCTGGGCTCCCTGCCTGTGCCATTAAACCCCTACAACTTATCCAGAACGCCGCAGCCCGTCTGGTGTTCGACCTTCCCAAGTTCTCTCATGTCACCCCGCTCCTCCGCACACTCCACTGGCTTCCAGTTGAGGCTCGCATCTGCTACAAGATCATGGTGCTTGCCTACGGAGCTGTGAGGGGAACGGCACCTCCTTACCTTCAGGCTCTGATCAGACCCTACACCCAAACAAGGGCATGTCATCCACCTCTGGCCTGCTATCTCCCCTACCTCTACGGAAGCACAGTTCCCGCTCAGCCCAGTCAAAGCTATTCGCTGTTCTGGCACCCCAATGGTATAACAAGCTCCCCCACGACGCCAGGACAGCGGAGTCACTGACCACCTTCCGGAGACACTTGAAATCCTACCTCTTTAAGGAATACCTGGAATAGTATAACAGTAATCCTTCTACCCCCCTCCACCCATTAAATAAAAAAAAATAATAATAATAATAATAATAATAATAATAATAATAGTTGTTGTCCCACTGGCTATCACAAATTGAATGCACCAATTTGTAAGTCGCTCTGGATAAGAGCATCTGCTAAATGATGTAAATGTAAATGTAAATATTATATAAGAGCAACAGGAGCTCAAGCAGCAGAACATTTGAGGTGTCGGTACTCAGCTCCAGTGAGCTCCTTCCCAAGTCAAGCACTGCTTCTTATCCCTTGTGCAAATAGCCTACAGCTGTGTCTGTCCCGAGCTCACCGGCGAGGGAAACTCTGAGGGCCCAGAATATTTTATACAATGTTGCAAGTTCGCTAGTGCAAGCTTGGCCAGACCCAAGTTAATCGTTGATACAATGTTTCAAGTACGTTGCAGACATGCCATGTGTAGCCAATGTGATTTATAGGATATCTATTTTTATCAGGATATTTTCTACCTGCAGGCTGCAATGTTTTTATTTGTTGGCTTTATGGAGGCTATTTTTACATAGTTGGCAATGGCAATAGAAGTTACTTTTTAGGTTTGTATCATTTTCATTTAGATTTGGATAGAATTTTGATGAACCACATGACAATGATTTTGACGTTATTATAAATGAAATGAAATTGTTCCCACGAAAATGTGCATGTGAAAACCATAACTGGCACACAGATCGGTAGCAATGGTAAGATACATTAGCATTCCACATGAGAAAGGTTGCCGACTCCTCGTGTAGCCTATCACCGGCAACTTCAGGAGAGTAATGGCAGAATCTGTGAAAGCCAGCAGGAGCGGGAGGAGGATGGTCAGGACAGGTTAAGTTTATCTTTTTCTTCTGGTTATCTTTATCTCTGGCTCCCTCTTGAGTCATTTGTGTCTGATTTAATCAAACAGTGAGCTTAAAGCATCAGTCAAGCTCATTGCATATACAGTTGATTTTATTAAAACACATAGGGTGTGTCTATATATGGAAAAATACACGTTAACATTTTTGGGATTGGTCGAAAGGACAGACGACTTTAGGTAGACCAAGATTTTTTTTTTCTCCAGCCGGGGACAGCCCTAGTTCTCACACTGACCTCATACCCCACTGGAACATTAACTACAGTACCCACAATCCCCCTTTCTCTAGCTAAGGCAAGCATATACACACACAGGACCTACTTCTTGCTGGCCTCACACACGTCTGTGATGTTGGAGAAGAGGTGGTGGTGCTCGGTCTTGGTCATGGTGTCACTGAGCTCCGCTGAGTTCTTAAACATCCGGATCAGAATCTCCAGACTGTGGAGGTAGGAGTGCTCTGACGATATCAACTCAAATATGGCCTGACAGAGAAATAAAGAGAGCGAGGAAGAAAGAGAGAGTCATTAGTGACAAAACTTTTAAAAATGTTAAGTTACGAACTCTTAAGACACATCCGGTAGAGAGAGACCTCCCACAAAATGTAATGTGTATCCTTAGAATTGGAATTCTCCCCAATAACCTCAACAGCAGATCAGAACATGCAGATTTCCACAGCAGGTTATGACTCAATATAAATGGAGTGGGTGTAAATGTGGGCGCAAATGAAAATCATTAACGTACCTAACATCTGTGCACTGTCCTAATATCTCTGGCATGTCATTGAGCAATAATGTGTGTGTGAGTTATGATGCATGCAGGCTAGATCGTGTCTTGGCAGGGCACAAAGGCCCACAGGCAACATTCAAGACGGCATTCAAATAAAACTTCCATTTAAAAAGGCCATATGTTAAATGGTCCTCTGTAGCTCAATTGGTAGAGCATGGCGCTTGTAACGCCAGGGTAGTGGCGTGACTGTAAGTCGCTTTGGATAAAAGCGTCTGCTAAATGGCTTATTATTATTATTATTATTATTATTATTATTATTATTAATAGGGGAAACACTGTTGTGTTGTGCCTCTGTACATTTCATCAAACTGTACTTTCCTACATTTCTGTCCTCTAGACATGTATTTGCTTAGACATCCGTGCTATTAAATAATGTGTCCCTCAATATAAACTGGTTTACTAGTCTATGGTCCATATTTTCTAGCCCTCCCCTTTAAGAAGGGTTTATTATTGCTATGGAGAGGTTACAGGAAGAGGAGTTCAGGCACCGTATATTACATTTCCCAGGGTGCTACAGTAAGTGACTTTTCTGTGTGTGTCTGTGTGTGTGTGTGTGTCTGTGTGTGTGTGTGTGTGTGTGTCTGTGTGTGTGTGTGTGTGTGTGTGTGTCTGTGTGTGTCTGTCTGTGTGTGTGTGTGTCTGTGTGTGTGTGTGTGTGTGTGTGTGTGTCTGTGTGTGTGTGTGTGTGTGTGTCTGTGTGTGTGTGTGTGTGTCTGTGTGTGTGTGTGTGTGTGTGTGTGTCTGTGTACGCACGCATCCTAAACCCTCTGGAGCCGGTCTGCTTTACCCTTTGTAGGAACTGTCCATGTCTAAAGGGAAAGGGTTACATGCACGCACATACACACACCATCTCTCACACACACACACACTGAATAAGGCTGTTACCTCTTGTCTTTTCCGCTCCTCCTGGCTGAGCTTATCAGAAACTCCACTTTTCTTTACCTGCAGGAAAAACAGTTTAGATCAGGGTTCTTCAATTCCGGTCCTGGAGGGCCAAAACACCTCTGTTTTTCATCCTCTCCTTCTAATCAGGGGCTAATTCAGACCTGGGACACCAGGTGAGTGCAATTAACTACCAGGTAGAAATAAAAAACAGAAGTGTTTCGGTCCTCCAGGACCGGAATTGAAGAACCCTGGTTTAGATCATACGTTTTAGTAACACATTAGGAAGAAAATGTAATCTCTAACAACACAGGCCTACTGGTTATATGCCACCAGTTAGCCTTAACCAGTTACATTCTGTACCTTAAAGAATGAAAGGAATTGTTTAGAGGTGAGGCATACCTCTGTCAGTCAAGGTTGTCTCTATCTGTATCCATCACAGGTAATCCTAACTCTCAGGCCTCAGGTGTCTGCGTTTAGAGAAATGAAGGCTACTGTGCGTTCAGCTGTCTGTGGCAGCACACATTCATTAAGTCTGTCAGTGAAAGCAGCAAGACAGACACACCAATGTTCATGACTCCAATAACTGCAACAAAAAGGAGTAGTTCTCATACCAGACCTGTAGGAGCTGAATAAAGACCTGTAGGAGCTGAATAAAGACCTGTAGGAGCTGACTATAGAGCTGTAGGAGCTGAATATAGAGCTGTAGGAGCTGAATAAAGACATGTAGGAGCTGAATAAAGACCTGTAGGAGCTGAATAAAGACCTGTAGGAGCTGAATAAAGACCTATAGGAGCTGAATAAAGACATGTAGGAGCTGAATAAAGACCTATAGGAGCTGAATAAAGACCTATAGGAGCTGAATAAAGACCTGTAGGAGCTGAATAAAGACCTGTAGGAGCTGAATAAAAACATGTAGGAGCTGAATAAAGACCTATAGGAGCTGAATAAAGTGAATAAAGACCTGTAGGAGCTGGATAAAGACCTGTAGGAGCTGAATAAAGACCTGTAGGAGCTGAATAAAGACATGTAGGAGCTGAATAAAGACCTATAGGAGCTGAATAAAGTGAATAAAGACCTATAGGATCTGAATAAAGACCTGTAGGAGCTGAATAAAGACCTATAGGAGCTGAATAAAGACATGTAGGAGCTGAATAAAGACATGTAGGAGCTGAATAAAGACCTGTAGGAGCTGAATAAAGACCTGTAGGAGCTGAATAAAGACATGTAGGAGCTGAATAAAGACCTATAGGAGCTGAATAAAGACCTATAGGAGCTGAATAAAGACCTGTAGGAGCTGAATAAAGACCTGTAGGAGCTGAATAAAAACATGTAGGAGCTGAATAAAGACCTATAGGAGCTGAATAAAGTGAATAAAGACCTGTAGGAGCTGAATAAAGACCTGTAGGAGCTGAATAAAGACCTGTAGGAGCTGAATAAAGACATGTAGGAGCTGAATAAAGACCTATAGGAGCTGAATAAAGTGAATAAAGACCTATAGGATCTGAATAAAGACCTGTAGGAGCTGAATAAAGACCTATAGGAGCTGAATAAAGACATGTAGGAGCTGAATAAAGACATGTAGGAGCTGAATAAAGACCTGTAGGAGCTGAATAAAGACCTGTAGGAGCTGAATAAAGACCTGTAGGAGCTGAATAAAGACCTGTAGGAGCTGAATAAAGACCTGTAGGAGCTGAATAAAGACCAGTAGGAGCTGAATAAAGACCAGTAGGAGCTGAATAAAGACCAGTAGGAGCTGAATATAGACCTGTAGGAGCTGAATAAAGACCTGTAGGAACCAGACGTGAGTGCTTTAGCCCTGTACCAAAACATGGTTATCTACTAACATAACTTAAGCACACCCATTGTAACTGCCGCCGTTAATGCAGTAAAGGTCCAATTATTTTTTTGGACACCTTTGGTACAGATGTGCCTTATCGCAACGCTAAAATCGACTTGCACACAAGCCCATCTCAGTGGCCGAGTCTACCAGCAGCAATGGAGTGAACCATCCCCAGTTCATCTGGTGGGCGGGGATACCTGGCCGCTTTTCTCCGAGGATGAACATCGACTGTCGCAACATGAATGGAAACAATTCCAGACTCATGAGAGAGCCTTCAGAAAATGCCTAGACACTAAACTGCTCCAGGAGAAAACAAAGTTTGTCTCCTCCGGAGATCCAGGGAAATGGAATAGAGTGGCGGCTATTCTGAATGGAGCGTTCTACAGGAACGGCATCTTTTCTGCCTAAACATCGGGACGGGAGACCCTTTGGTGCTCCACTCCTGAAATATGTTGTACGGATCCTGAGAAAGTTCCCTACAAGCTTGGATTGCCTCCAGCGGAGGTGACCGTGACCTCCCTCACTGACTGGATCAAGGCACAGCTGTGCTTTATTCGGGATACCATTCAACCATCACTCAGTGGCAGTGGGACTCAAACACGAAAGAGGACAGAGAAAGGTATGCATGGAGAAATTGGCATACTTATGGCAACATCGTAAATCTAAAGAGATTGACATTATTCTGAGCAATAGTGCATACTCCAGACCCCTGCCCAGTATCTTGGTCATAAGTTTAATGTTGCTGGTGAGTGGGGGGGAACAAGTTGGTATTCAACCAGGCTTGATATGATTGACATTTCCCCTCTGCCTGTGGTCATGAAGCTAGAAGCTGTGAGAGAGGAGAGCCCTAGCAAAGATCCAACATCTGCTTGCAAATGTGCATATCCCACAGAAGGTTCTGAGGGAAATGAATAAGAAAACTGTTCAAGTGGTGAGAAAGTGGCTATGTTTAAACACACAGCACACGTAACGTTGTCTTCCTGAGCCAAGGGGAGGGGGGGTTTAGGTGTCCTGAATATTGAGTGGATTTACACTGTTAAGGAGTTAGCCAGAGCCTCTCTCCTTCTGGACCTAGGGAGGAGGAAGGTTACACTGGCCACAGACACTGAGGATAACTTCCTGGGCTTCAGGAGGAAGGTTACACTGGCCACAGACACTGAGGATAACTTCCTGGGCTTCAGGAGGAAGGTTACACTGGCCACAGACACTGAGGATAACTTCCTGGGCTTCAGGAGGAAGGTTACACTGGCCACAGACACTGAGGATAACTTCCTGGGCTTCAGGAGGAAGGCCAATGGAAAATTAAGACACTCGTGCTGCGGACTTTGGAGTCTGGTCAGACTGGCCGGACCTCAACGACCTGTGCAACCGGACTGGAATGGAGCTCAGGTGGACACGGACTGATATGCAAACTGAGCCAGTGACAGCCTCTGATGCAGTTGTGGCAGATCGCGGTGTTTTTGTGGAGGCTTCTGTCACCCATGATGGAACATCTCATCCTACATCCGGGACAACACTCCTTGGTATCAGACGGATGCAGCTACTGCAACACTGGACTGGCCTGAGGCTGCATGGGGAAACTGGACTGGCCTGAGGCTGCAGGGGAAACTGGACTGGCCTGAGGCTGCAGGGGAAACTGGACTGGCCTGAGGCTGCAGGGGAAACTGGACTGGCCTGAGGCTGCAGGGGAAACTGGACTGGCCTGAGGCTGCAGGGGAAACTGGACTGGCCTGAGGCTGCAGGGGAAACTGGACTGGCCTGAGGCTGCAGGGGAAACTGGACTGGCCTGAGGCTGCAGGGGAAACTCACTGCTCTGGACTGTGCTGTCCACTCTGTCTCCCATTCCATGTACCAGAATGCTGCCGTTGGCCAGGACATTCTCACCATTACTGTTAAGGCAAGGCTGCAAGTTCTACCAACAAAATATAATGTAGCACTCTGGTACCCTGCAAACCATGACCCATTTTGTATTCTACATGAGTCAAATGTAATGGAGTCCATTGCCCATGTTGTGAACGGCTGCTGTACATACAAGGATTTGTACATTGCTAGACATGACCGCCTTGTTGACCTGATAGCCAGCGAGGTGAGAGAAGTGGTCTCACCAACAGCACACATGCAGAAACATTATTGTGTAAGGGGAAGCTGATGTGATGTTGATGATGTGTTTTCCTGTGTGCCAAATACGCCAGATATTGTTGTTGTGGGGGGAGGCCAGGGGGAGGTGCTCATTTTGGAAGTGGGCGGCTCATTTGACGCTACATGGAGCAGGACTTTGCTGAGAAGCTGCTTAAGTACCAGCCTCTCGTGGCATGCTTGGACAGCCTCGGGTGTAGGTGCAAGCTGGTGGCGCTGATATTTGGCAGTATTGGCCACGTACACAGCCTAGCAGTACGTTGCCTCCAGATTGCGGGCCTGACAAAAACTAGGGCAAAGCAGTTGGGGAGGTACTGCTCTGTTTCAGATGTCGTGGGCAGCCTCGCTGTTGGGAGGAGGAGGTGCTTTCTGTACCCTTGAGTGCCATGCATACAGGGACCTTTGGATCCTTTTTTTGTATATTGGATTGGTGGATTCAAATAAAGCATTTAAGATACCTGGAGCATTTTCTGTTAATGCCTAACCAGGTCACACCCCCACCTCAGCCTGCTTAGGTTAAATCCCACAGTGTACTAATATATACACCCACTAGTGTTTTTCCAGGGTCACAGGCCGAGCCACACCAGGGTTCTGAACAGCTGATGGGAGCATAAAAAGCCTTGAATGTATCTCACTGTAATACCAAAGAGATACAAAATGTCTGGTTTGGTTAGGGTTTTTTTTAAGGTGAGGGTTAAGGTTCACTGTTGCCCCTAGTGGCCGGTTTAGAATACTGGACTTGAAATACTGACTGGCTGATCTCTCCACACACAGTCCTTCTTCAGCACCCCACTCCGCCATACAAGCAACCTGAAAACTCCTGTCCAACTCCAACTGATCCAAGGAAGTGATACTGCTGCTATATGAATCTCCCTGCTCCTTAGTCCCAGACATGAAGATATTTGCCATGGAGACTAGGGTTTTCACTATACCAGTGTAGTGGTCCTACAATACCCGATTTTCCATGGCAAAAAACGGAAAACACAAAGCAGGTCTAACTCCTTTGGTCATTTAAAACCTACTGTATGTAACACAGTGTGATATGGTTTGGAAAAGAAACGTGATTCTGGGTGACAACATCAGGCTGTTTGTTTCTAACATTAGGACTGTTTTCCTCAGGAAATGATGTCCGCTTCATGTTCTTGTGTCCTTGCCATGATACCTCTGAGTATCGCGGTACTGATATTGTGACAACCGTAACGGAGACCTTTGCAAACACAGCCAGACTAGGGGGCACACACACACACACACACACACACACCACTACAGCCAGACTGCCAAAAGCTTGTCAAGATTGTTTTAATTTGCAAGACAAATTCCCTTTTAAGGGCAATTAACTTATATTTATCTACTGTATCTATGGCCTCGCATGTCTTTAGTGTCCTAGTAACCACCTTCCCGCCACAACAACTGAACTTCGCCCTGCTTTTGGAGTTTCCCTGAGAACACAGAGACAGGCGTAACTGTGACAACCGAAACTCGGTAGTCAGTCAATAGGGAGTGCTTGGGGTAGAGGTTGGCTGTAGGCACAAATCTAGCATCATCTTACCCTCCCCTGTCCTATCCTTAACCCGGGGGGGGGGGGGGGGGGGGGGGGTCAACAAACACTCTTAGATACACCACTTCCTCCTGTCCCTAATGTTACTGGAAACTAGAGACTTCTAGGAAACAGAGAAGAGTCTGACTCTACAGATGTTACTGTTAACTGGAAACGTTATTTTGTAGACGCTCTTATCCAGAGCAACTTACAGTAGTAAGTGCATACATTTTCATATTTGTTCGTACTGGTCCCTCGTGGGAATCGAACCCACAACCCTGGCGATGATATCTTATAACTATTAGGTTAACTGTCTAAAATGTGCTAAATGCTCTGCAGTTGTGCATTTGGTTTGCTAATTTAGTAGCTAGTTAGCCATCTAGCTAAGTGGTTAGCTTCTTCCAAATCAAGCATTCGCTTGGTAACAGCAGAGAATCCCCTCCTGGATCAAGAGCCTTACAGGGTAATATTTGTTTTGTGCGTGCAGCAAACTGTGAGTAGCATTTTTGAGTTACTTGTATAGTTTAGGTCAGAAACTGTACAAAATGTTTGCAATGCGCTCGTTAGCATTCTCTACGGGATTTTACATCTACTTGTTAGCATTGCTAACCTTCGGATTACAGATTATCAGTGATGTTTGGAAACAGCGCCCCTTGTGTTCAGTGCCGCTATTTCTTTATATCCCGGTATGGCACAAGGTCGGTATGAAGGTATGACAATCTGGATACCGCCCAAGCCTCCATCCAACTACTATAAAAACACTAAAGCCTGCCCTGTCACAGTGGAAACAGCAGCACATCCAACTACTATAAAACACTACAGCCTGTCACAGAAGTCACGGCCCACAGACCTTCCATCTGGCATCAAACACAGGACAGTACAGATTAGTGGTATCGTCTACCCCTTTATCCTCCTCCACACATTGGAAACAATAAGTATGAATATCTCCATCAGAACTAAGTGTCCTGTACCGTCTGCAGTGACACATCAGAAACCTCTCTCTCTATCCTACCATCCTGGGTCCAAACTGGATTACATAATGTCATAAAATCGGAGTCACCACACTGGTGACTGCCATCTTTGTATCATATCCCACTCTCTCTCTTTACAGAGAGAAATTAAGAGAGAGAGAGAGAGAGACAGATGTAGACAGGGAGAAACAGACAGACACTCAGTATAGAGAGTGGGTAAGGACTGCATCCAGACCAGATGGGACAACACCCTGCACAGCACCGGCATTCCATCTTCCAACCAGACACTGTGTTTGTCTCTGTACTGCAGGATTCTTCAATTCCGGTCCTGGAGGGCCGAAACACCTCTGTTTTTCATCCTCTCCTTCTAATCAGGGGCTAATTCAGACCTGGGACACCAGGTGAGTGCAATTAACTACCAGGTAGAAATAAAAAACAGAAGTGTTTCGGCCCTCCAGGACCGGAATTGAAGAACCCTGCTGTACTGTATGAGCAGACAGGAACTGCACCATGATGCACTGTGTCTATGTGTGTGAATGTGTCTCACCACACTGAGTTGGCTCCAGGAGGTGCGTATGGGCCTGTACTGCACCACGATGCGGTCGGCAGGTTTGGGCTCTTTGAACTGGTCCTCATCAGAGTCATTGTGAAGAGCTTTCTCCTGGTAGTTCTGATACAGTTCCTCCTCTAGAACACACCATAGACAGACAGGTTGATGGTGGATCACACCATAGACAGACAGACAGACAGACAGGTTGAGGGTGGATCACACCACTGACAGACAGACAGGTTGAGGGTGGATCACACCACTGACAGAGAGACAGGTTGAGGGTGGATCACACCACTGACAGAGAGACAGATTGAGGGTGGATCACACCACTGACAGACAGACAGGTTGAGGGTGGATCACACCACTGACAGAGAGACAGGTTGAGGGTGGATCACACCACTGACAGAGAGACAGGTTGAGGGTGGATCACACCACTGACAGACAGACAGGTTGAGGGCGGATCGCACCACAGATACACAGACAGGTTGGATCACACCACTGACAGACAGACAGGTTGAGGGCGCATCACAATAGTACAGTTCCCAATGAGAGCAAGACATCAAACATGGATAGAAAGTCACAGTCATAACTAGTTCATATAAATGACTAAGACGGAGAAGAAGCACTCACCTTCACTGTCAAATGTCCTCTGTGTGATCAGTCCTGTCTTCTTATCAGGACTCTGAGAGAAGAAGACCCCATGGCTATGTCACTATTAACAACAGGCCCAGGATCAGCTCTCCCTGCCCCACCCTTATATTACCATTATGAACTGAGAAATAAAACTGTCACTAGATCTGTTATCATGTGCATGCGAGTATCAGCACAATATCCTAAATGATGCTTTATTAGCCAAATCTGGTTACGAATTACATTATTGTACCAAGTTGGTTACCTTACAAATGCCTTCAAATTAGCCCACATCTAATCCTCTCCCCCCACACCTGTCACATTCTAAATGACGGGTGTAAGTAGGTCCCCTGTCACCTGCTCTTGACCCCTGACCTCTGCACTGACCTGTCAACCTGACCCCGCCTAAATACAGAGCAGTGGAATGGAGTGTGTGTGTGTGTGTGTGTGTGTGTGTGCGTGCGTGCGTGCGTGCGCGTGTATATTGCAATTATACGTTTTCACTATTAGCCTCACTTCAACACAAGCTCCTCATGACATTGTTCCAACTTTAAGCTAGCTGTGGACTTTGGTCCTGATCTGAACTTCAGTAGAACAACAACATGAACCCATCAGGCAGAGTAGTGTTAGTAAACTGTAGTGTGACTCTGCAGGGTAACAGACAGTAATAATATCCAGGCACACAGGCCAAAGCAAGGGGAGAACGGTTCCCATGACATAGCAGTTAACAGTAATGACAATTTCCTGGAAAAATAATAACTGAATACATCTCTTCGATACCTTGTTCTTCTTCCCAGGGCTGGTAGGGCTCTCCTTGACCGCCTGTAGTCCTTTGAGTACAGGCTGAGACAGACGATGGGTCTTGGGGTCTACAGGCTGAGACAGACGATGGGTCTTGGGGTCTACAGGCTGAGACAGACGATGGGTCTTGGGGACTACAGGCTGAGACAGGCGATGGGTCTTGGGGACTACAGGCTGAGACAGGCGATGGGTCTTGGGGTCTACAGGCTGAGACAGGCGATGGGTCTTGGGGTCTACAGGCTGAGACAGGCGATGGGTCTTGGGGACTACAGGCTGAGACAGGCGATGGGTCTTGGGGTCTACAGGCTGAGACAGGCGATGGGTCTTGGGGACTACAGGCTGAGACAGGCGATGGGTCTTGGGGACTACAGGCTGAGACAGGCGATGGGTCTTGGGGTCTACAGACGGTACTTCCATTTCCACTCCACTCACCACTGCTCTCCTGTACGAGGTAGATCTCAACCCTCTCTTCAGAGTCCCAGGGCTCTCATCTTGGTCTGTCCCCTCTCCCCCTCCCCTGGACCCTCCGTCCGTGGAGAAGAAGGTTCCAGTCTCCACCATGCTGAGGGCTCGCAGGGCCCGCTTGGTAGGATTCAGGCCCAGCAGAACCCCCAAGGCCTGGCTCTGTACCCCAGCAGGAGAGACCTTGCTCAGGGACGCCAGGCCTTTGGGGATAAGCTGCTGGGTGCCCGTCTTCAGGGCAGCGGCACTGTGGGTGCTGAGGACAATGGAGGGAGGAGGAGAGAGGGAGGGAGTGGGAGAAGGAGAGGGGGCAGACATGTCAGCAGGGGAGGGGCTGCGGGGTGTGGGGGGGTCAGAAGGGGAGAAGGTGGAGGTGAGGGAGGAGATACTGGAGGTGGAGCTGTGAGATGGGGTAGGGGTGTGGAGACTAGGGGGAGAGGGGCTGGGGTTAGGGGGAGAAGGACGAGGGTTTAAAGGGTGGTAGGAAGAAGGGGAGGTCTGGTCCGACCACACCTTCTCCCCGTTACCGATTTTACCAACACTCCCACCGTGGTATGCCTTATTGTCCAATGACGGCGACTTATCATCCTTCGACTTGAACTTAGACAGAGAGAAACGTCCTTTGGGCAGATGTCCGATGCTTATACTCCTGACCACCCGTGTTTTCCTGGCGGGTTGGTTGAGAAGGTGCTTCAGAATGACCATCCCTCCTCCCGGCATAGCCACCAGTCTCTCTGCGGGCTGGCTCAGTGTAAAGCTGCACTTGTTGTCCTCTACGGGGAAGTCTGTCATGTGAAGTCTGTCTATCTGGTAGCTGAGGGGCCGGGCCTTTGTCTTGCTGGGGCCAGTGTGGTTGGCTGAGTGACGCTTCCACAGCGGGGTGATGTTATTGTTGGACAGATCTACCTCATTCCCGCCCTCCATGGTGCTCAATCACTCTTGTCTTTTCTTTCTCACTGCGGAGCTGGAGTCTTGTCCGACGAGACTGGTCACTGTGCAAACATCCCAACCCCACTGAGAACTGCAATAACCCCTGGTGGTAAACACAAAGAGAGATCAATCAAAATCAAAGCTGGAGTGGGAGCAGAGTGAGTCCTTATTCTTCAGGGTTAGGGCTGTCTGTGAGGTCACAAGTTGGGTCATTCTGCCTTCTCCTTACAGTTCTCAGCCATTAGCGTCGCCCACGACTGCCTCATGTAAACTACAATCCCAACGCTGTTTAAACGTTTAGAAACGTCAATAATCATTGCTTGGAATATGGCATTCAAAACATATGGCCCTTATCTTTAAATCAGCAAGAAAGAATCCTTCAAATAAAAAAATATACACTTACTGTAGCAGTTAAAGATCCATACAGATATGGGCGCCTCCATCCCATGAAACTACACTTCCGCCACATTCCCGTGTTACGCTTGAGTTATGCTTATACACAGGTGTTAGGAGCATGCTAGATAGATCATTAGCACAGGTGTTAGGAGCATGCTAGATAGATCATTAACACAGGTGTTAGGAGCATGCTAGATAGATCATTAACACAGGTGTTAGGAGCATGCTAGATAGATCATTAACACAGGTGTTAGGAGCATGCTAGATAGATCATTAACACAGGTGTTAGGAGCATGCTAGATAGATCATTAACACAGGTGTTAGGAGCATGCTAGATAGATCATTAACACAGGTGTTAGGAGCATGCTAGATAGATCATTAGCACAGGTGTTAGGAGCATGCTAGATAGATCATTAGCACAGGTGATCGCCTCTTGTCTTCCATCTGTTTTCCGTACACAAGCGCTGTAACATGGAGATATTGCCTTGTGTGAACACTAACCCTAACAATTTAACCGTTTGTTTTTTGAAAATGATATCTCGCTGATATGCTTCCAAAACCGTACTGCAAGCCATGCATGTTAATGTTCACACCGAGCGTTGGAGATTTTACCAAAACTCCCCCCTAAAGAAGACGCCTTCGTCCAATGACTTGGTGTAATGTAATTCCTTTACCACTGCACCAACAGCCTAATATCCATGAAGAGCATTGGACCACAATAGAACCCTGATACAGTAGAGGACCACTGCTTGACAGTGACAGACAGGCATGCAGTCAGCGGAGGAAAGTTTACCCTCAATTATAACGCTCTAAATGAGTTAAGGAGTAGTTCAAAACTATGCAGCAGAACACGTTCAGACAACACATGCGAATATCGTCTATGCAGAGAAGTAGGCTGGCTATTGTAGCCACAGAAAGACGGGGAAACAATGTTACGAGTGAGAGTTCCCACCATTGAGCTAAAAAAGAACAGTTCCAACGCCGAACGGCGAGCGTTGTCTTCCAGTAACCCGTGAGGGATAAACTAGACCTACCTTTCTATTGACTCGTCGTTTCCCTGCAAAACCTCGTCATGGTGTCCTGCAGTGCTCAATATAATAGGCAAAGTTTTCTTGTTGTTTGAGATCTTATTTATGCTTGGGGTAAACTATTCCTTTGTGCAGTAATCCGGGGACCATCGGCTGTGTTCACCGTGTCTCGAAGTCCTATATGTCGGTGTGTTATCTCCGAGAGTGACCCGGGTCGTGTGTTCAGGAGGAGAGGACTGAGCAGGGGGAATGCCAAACAGGACAGAAGCCTTCCCAGGTTCACGTGACGTCATGTGCACTACAATTCGACCGAGTTGAACTTTTATTTCGTAAACTAAAGAGAATGAAAGCCCTGCACCTAAACATTATAAGACAAAAGTGAAAATAAAATGTCCTAAATAATGCAGGCATATAGTCAACAAAATCACAGTGTCCATTTGGAGAAAAATGATTTACATTTGGGACCACTTTGGAAAGTTAAGTATGGGACTAGTTCACCATCTAGAAATGTTCAGTGATTTAGCGCCACACTGTGGTTCTTTAGAGTACAGCCACAGTAGACTACAAGAAGTCTAGATTAAACATTTGCTAATACATAAATACAACACTTTGCCCACACAGATTCCAATGACAGTGGAAACTCAAGACTTCTGAGTGACAAATGTTACAATCTTATCCAATATGTTTTTGAAATACAGTAGGCTAGACCTACACTAGCTCTCGAGAACCCAAGGGGGCCCAAGGTGGCTTCCAGCCAGTCCCCGTCTTCGGTTCTCAGCTGATGGTTTGGAGGACAGCTGGCTCCATGTGAGCTACGATCCCAACGCTCTTTTTTAACGTTTAGAAATGTTATTCATCTTCGCTAACTATACTGATTTGGAAACCTTTGGAACTTAACTTTCATATAAGCGAGAAAGAATCTTTCAAATACAAAAGATACTTACTCTGTTCAGTTTAGCAAAAGCGCACCCAGCTGTTTTCCTTTTTTTTTTTTACATTTTACATTTTAGTCATTTAGCAGACGCTCCTATCCAGAGCGGCTTACAGTTAGTGAGTGCATAATGTATTTTTTTTTCATACTGGCACCCTGTGGGAATCGAACCCACAACCCTGGCGTTGCAAGCGCCATGCTCTACCGCACACTGCCTCAGCTGACATCCTCTCACCTTGCATTTCCATTGGACCATTCCTTTCCACATTTCTGTCTGTTTCTCAAACTACAGCCGGGTGCAACATTCCTACACACTAAAAATTAGGGGTTCAACAAGGGTTCTTCTAAGATCCTCAAAGTTCTTTGAATAACCTTAGGGTTCTTGGCACTGAAAATGGCCCCCAAAATGTTCTTCCAAAAACCCCATAGGAGGTGGGGTTCATCGAGGAACCTCCTTAGTTGGTGGGGGTTCTTGCAGGAACCTAACTGCCCAACTGAAACGTTTCCATTTGAAAGGACAGCAGGTGCAGGTACTTAACTGAAAAATGTAAAGATCTCCTCAATTTAAGGTAAGCTTTGTCCCTTGTATGATCTAAATTCATATTGTTTTATGATGATACCCATCTATATTTTCATATTTGTGCAAATCTGTCTAAAACCGAAAATTTACACAATTCAATGGATATCAATCAACAAAGAGGTAAGAATATGTAGGCTATGAGAATGTGTTGAAGGCTAGCTGTATTGGGTGCAGATGACTGAACTGCTCACTTTTGTGTCTGTTGTCTGCAGGTATACAGACGAGGAGGCATACAAAGGTATGTCAATTGGTATTGGTATGTTATGCAGATCACATGTACCATCCTCCTCCCTTACCTCTTCCATGAATATCCCATAGGCCTCTACATTATGGACTAGGTATGTGTATGAAAACCATGATCAAAACAGTTTTTTTTTTCCATCCACATTCACCACAACACCAAGGTATGAATTCTGTCGGGAACATTTTTTGTTAATCGTCTGCATAATTACTGTTTTTGGGGATTCACAGATTTCACCCTCCTTACACCTCTGATGGATAAAACAGGATAAAACAGGAAACCTGTTCGATGCACTGCAAAATCATTCTGGCTGTGGATACGGAGAACATCAGCACATTAACATCAACACGCCAGAGGATATACCCATTGGAGGTGGGGCTCTGCTGGGAGTTTACCTCATATTTTGATTTTTCTTTCTGCTTTGCCACTAAAATCATAATAACCACTGTGAACTCAAATATTGTGTTATTGTTATTGTTATACATATTATTATTATTATTAACAATAATAATATGTATAACAATAACACAATATTTGAGTTCACAGTGGTTATTATGATTTTAGTGGCAAAGCAGAGGGGAGGGGGGGTAGTTAAAAAAATTTACCCCAAAGGGTTCTTCAAAAGGTTCTTCGAGGATCCATTAAAAGGGATTTTTTGAAGAACTTATAGGGGTTCCCCCACAGTTTCAATTAGAAGAACCCCTAAAGGATCCTCCAGGAACCTTTTCTTTTTAGAGTGTAAACGTCATACATTAAGTGTGTCTTTTATATGATATATTTATTCATTTTTTTAATATGAAAGTTAAGTTTCAAATGTTTCAAAACTGTATCATGTGCGAGGCATTTTGTGTTTAGAAAAAGCATTTGGTCGGCGTTGAGCTTCATCGGGCCATTTCTCATACAAGGGGACATCCAATGTCTCTATGAATGTCACGATCGTCTAGGAGTGAAGGAGACCAAAGCGCAGCGCGTTGAACGAACATGACTTTAATTAGAGTAAAGCACGTAAAATACAAAACAAAAGACGACTCGTGAAGTCCACAGTACAACGACTGAAACACGGAACAATAACCCACAATGCCCACAAGAAAACATACAGAATAAATATGGCTCCCAATCAGAGATAACGAGCCGACAGCTGACACTCGTTACCTCCGATTGGGAGTCACATGACTAATCAACAAAATTACAACACTTTGACACCCAACATAGAACCAAACCACATAGACTGCACACACCCTGGCTCAACATAATGAGTCCCAGAACCAGGGTGTGACAGTACCCCCCCCCTAAAGGCGCGGACTGCGACCGCGCCTCAAAACCCCCAAACAGGGGAGGGCTGGGCGGGCATACCTCCTCGGTGGCGGTTCTGGCTCCGGCCTAGACCACCACCCCACCATCGTCACTACCCGCTTACGTAGGTTCCTCCAAATGACCCCCACCGGTTTAAGGGGCAGCACCGGACTAAGAGGCAGCACCGGACTAAGGGGCAGCACCGGACTAAGGGGCAGCACCGGACTAAGGGGCAGCACCGGACTAAGGGGCAGCACCGGACTAAGGGGCAGCACCAGGATAAGGGGCAGCACCTGACTCAATGGCGGATCCTGGCTGGCTGGCTCTGGCGGATCCTGGCTGGACGGCTCTGGCGGATCCTGGCTGAACGGCTCATGGCGGGCTGAAGGATCTGGCTGCTCATGGCTGGCCGACGGATCTGGCTGCTCATGGCTGGCCGACGGATCTGGCTGCTCATGGCTGGCCGACGGATCTGGCTGCTCATGGCTGGCCGACGGATCTGGCTGCTCATGGCTGGCCGACGGA